CATGGCTATGCAAGGAGCTGGCATTGGCTATGCAAGGAGCTGGCATTGGCTATGCAAGGAGCTGGCATTGGCTATGAAGGAGCTGGCATGGCTATGCAAGGAGCTGGCATTGGCTATGCAAGGAGCTGGCATGGCTATGCAAGGAGCTGGCATGGCATGCAAGGAGCTGGCATTGGCTATGCAAGGAGCTGGCATGGGCTATGCAAGGAGCTGGCATTGGCTATGCAAGGAGATGGCAATTGGCTGATATGCAAGGAGCTGGCATTGGCTATGCAAGGAGCTGGCATTGGCTATGCAAGGAGACTGGCATTGGCTATGCAAGGAGCTGGCATTGGCTATGCAAGGAGCTGGCATTGGCTATGCAAGGAGCTGGCATTGGCTATGCAAGGAGCTGGCATTGGCTATGCAAGGAGCTGGCATTGGCTATGCAAGGAGCTGGCATTGGCTATGCAAGGAGGCTGGCATTGGCTATGCAAGGAGCTGGCATTGGCTATGCAAGGAGCTGGCATTGGCTATGCAAGGAGCTGGCATTGGCTATGCAAGGAGCTGGCATTTGGCTATGCAAGGAGCTGGCATTGGCTATGCAAGGAGCTGGCATTGGCTATGCAAGGAGCTGGCATTGGCTATGCAAGGAGCTGGCATTGGCTATGCAAGGAGCTGGCATTGGCTATGCAAGGAGCTGGCATTGGCTATGCAAGGAGCTGGCATTGGCTATGCAAGGAGCTGGCATTGGCTATGCAAGGAGCTGGCATTGGCTATGCAAGGAGCTGGCATGGCTATGCAAGGGGCATTGGCTAGCAAGGAGCTGGCATTGGCTATGCAAGGAGCTGGCATTGGCTATGCAAGGAGCTGGCATTGGCTATGCAAGGAGCTGGCATTGGCTATGCAAGGAGCTGGCATTGGCTATGCAAGGAGCTGGCATTGTTTGATGCAACAAACAAAGATGGGGACACCTCCAACAGCTGTGTAAGGCGCTCCCCACCATACAGGCGACCTTGGGGGAGGCAGAAAGGGCCTTTTCTGTCACCAAGCTACGAAACCGTCCATCGGCACTCTCTGTTTTTTGAGAACACACTTCGAGAGATCAGGGAGACTTGAAAGGCAGCTTTAGAGAGAGTGGGAATTTTCATTTTGGGTTAACTTTTTTTATTTATTTTTTAAAGCTAAAAGTTCCCTAGCCTAATGTTGCACACTGATATCCCCCTCATAAACATCCCAGGGAGGCCTTTGTGTGTTATTGATAGGCACCTGTAATGTTGTTATTCAAAATAATATTGTATAGTGTATGTAAGGGATAATCAACGAGGGTGTCATGCCTACTCCCTCTCTCCAGCGCTCGATGTCGCCGGTCTACTAACCACCGGCCCTGGCAACCATTATTACCCACACCTGGACTACTTCACCACCTTCCCTTTATTTAGCCCTCAGGCATCAGGCAGTATTGGTTTGTTTTCATGTTCAGTACGTTCTTTTTTCCTTGCATCAAACGCTCCTTCTGCACCTGCTTCCTGACTCCCTACATATATGTGACAGAGGGGCTATGCAACATATGGAAATAATGAAAGACTGTGGAAGGTGTGTTCCACAACAGGCTAGCGGAGTGGAACTGACCTTCCACTGAGTTGGATTATTGTCCACAGAAGCATAAATCCCTTTTATACATGGCTACATTTGCCACTAGAAATGTGTTCAACATCCACTGAAGTAGCTAGCAAGTTTACTGGATAACTACAGTAGTTGCTGTGGTAACCAAACAAACAGACTTGCTAGTTTAGCTAACCAAACCATCAGTCCTAGCTTGCTATTATGAAAATCAAATTCAAGAAAACCCAATACTGTTTTCAATTAGACTTTTGCTGTCAAAAGCAGCTCAAACAAAAACTTGTAAAAATGAACTATAGCCATTGAATTCTACCGTGCAAATATACCGTGTAAGGCCCGAGGGGGAGGGGTGGGGGTATATGGCCAATTGTCACGAACGTTGAGACGGGTCAGACCAAGGTGCAGCGTGGTATGCGAACATGTTTATTAAACTGGATACACACTGACAAAACGTGACGTCGGAAGGCTATACACAAACAAGCCAAACTCACCGAAACACAAACAAGATCCCACAACACAGGCAGGAAAACTGGCTGCCTAAGTATGATCCCCAATCAGAGACAACGAGCGACAGCTGCCTCTGATTGGGAACCACACCCGGCCAAACATAGAAATACAAAACCTAGACTTTCACCCTGACCAAACTACCTAGAGAATAACAGTCTCTCCAGGTCAGGGCGTGACAGTACCCCCCCCCCCCCCCCCCAAAGGTGCGTACTCCGGCCGCACCAACCTGACTCATAAGGGGAGGGTCCGGGTGGGCATTCCGCCTCGGAGGCGGATCCGACTCCGGGCGTGACGACCTCTCCCTCTTTGCCTCCCCATTGCGCCCCTGGTCTGGACGATGCCCACCCGATGGCGATGCTTCCCCTCTCCTTCCTCCCACGATGCACCAAGCCCTGTCTGGACCCTGGTGTGGGAGACCCCGAACCTGGAGAGGGGCTGACGTCTGGGCCTGGAGTGGAGTCGCTGACCGGAGCTGAACTGGACCCCAGTGGAGCAGACTGCTCTGGCTCCGGAATGGATCCGCTGACCGGAGCTGGACTCAAAACCGGTGGAGCGGACTACTCTGGCGCCGGAGTGGAGCCGCTGACCGGAGCTGGACTGGGCACCGGTGGAGCGGATTGCTCTGGCTCCGGAGTGGAACCGCTGACCGGAGATGGACCAGGCACCGGTGGAACGGACACAGGCCACAGGTCTGGTGCGAGGAGCAGGAACGGGCCGGACTGGAGACACGCACCACTATCTTGGTGCGAGACGCAGGCACGAGGTGTACCGGACTGGGAACTGTCGTTAGAGATCTCCGACTGTACCAGTCTTTTACTCTCCGCGCCCAGTCCTCCTCCAGTGAGGAGTCCTCCTTGAGCCCCCACGAGTGCAGTGGTCAGGGCTCTTCTCTATCGATCCCCGACCACACTTTTAGCCCCCCCCAACAAAAAAAAAATCTTAGGGCTGTCTCGCGGGCTTCCTCCTCGGCCGACGCCTTCTGTGTTCCTCTCCTGCTTGGGCCTCCTCCTTCGCCCAGGGTCCTTTTCCTGCCAAAATCTCCTCCCATGTCCAAAAACTCTTCCCCACCTGTGTCCAGGGTGTCTGCTGCTCCTGGGCACGCTGCTTGGTCCGTTTTTGGTGGGATCTTCTGTCAGGAACGTTGAGAGACGGGTCAGACCAAGGTGCAGCGTGTTATTGCAAACATGTTTATTAAACTGGATACACACTGACAAAACGTGACGTCGGAAGGCTATACACAAACAAGATCCCACAACCCAGGCAGGAAAACTGGCTGCCTAAGTATGATCCCCAATCAGAGACAACGAGCGACAGCTGCCTCTGATTGGGAACCACACCCGGCCAAACATAGAAATACAAAACCTAGACTTTCACACCCTGACCAAACTACCTAGAGAATTACAGTCTCTCCAGGTCAGGGCGTGACACCAATATACCTCGGCTAAGGGCTTTTCTTAAGCACAACGCAACACCTGGATACAGCCCTTAGCCGAGGTGCCTTATTGCTATTATAAACTGGTCACCAACGTAATTAGAGCAGTAAAAACAAATGTTTTGTCATACACGTGGTATACGGTCTGATATACCACGGCTGTCAGCCAATCAGCATTCAGGGCTCGAACCATCCGGTTTATTAAGGGAAATAATGCACGCTCTACCCCTTCAAGCCAATCAGAAAGGAGTATTCAACAATGCCATGGTATAATTGATTGTATTATTTGTTAGGCTATTGTTATAGCCTGGCCTGTACATTGTGACTGCACTTCATTTAGGCCTGGAAGTTCATTTTATATGATAAATTGATCATATCATTTTTGACAAAGTCCTGAGCCGTCTGTCATTATTTATGCAGACAAAAATAAAACGCAATGCAGAGACAATTTTACACAGGTCTCAAACGCAATAGTCCGACTGCTGCTCAACTGTGTCACCACTGTATAAACATTGACCAATAGGTGGTGGCAAAGCCTTGCATGTAAAGCCATGTAAAGCCATGTAAAGCCATGTAAAGCCATGTAAAAGCATGTAATTAATGTTGTGACTATACCTTGGTTTTAAACGCTTTAAATGGGCACTTCCGGTATTTGCAGTATTTCCCGGGACTCTTGGGATCAACATTAATTATTCCCGGTATTAAAATGTACTAGATTTCCGGGAAAATATGAATCCCTACAATGGATGGCCATAGTTCACGTCTAATAGATTAATTATCAACAGTAACCCATATTCCACAGGCCATGTACTGCATTAGGGGATAATAACACTGAATAGCAGTAATAACTCACTAATATTCCTTATAAAACTCCTCCTTACATATTGACCCCTACTTTATCACTCATCCATGGTCAATGGTTCATTCCATTCAGCGCCAACAGAGCTGTTTGTCGGGTCCTTACCCTGCCAATGGTTCATTCCATTCAGAACCAACAGAGCTGTTTGTCGGGTCCTTACCCTGCCAATGGTTCATTCCATTCAGAACCAACAGAGCTGTTTGTCGGGTCCTTACCCTGCCAATGGTGTGTGTGTGCCTGATTTCTCCAGAAGTTGCTGTTTGAAAAATGACTAATGGTAAATATTCACCTGTATATTGCAACGGTTCAGGCTTGGACAAGTCATAAAATATTCCGATAGTAAACCTATTTGGCTTTACAACAATTAGATTAAAAAATATATATAAAAAAAAAGACATGAAATTCATGAGAGAGAAGAGGACACATACACAGTGGGACACGTCATTTTGTATTGATATACCCTAGCTGCATATTCCCTTCTAGGTTTGTCAGCAGTGTCTTATATGAAAAAAAAAAAAAAAAGAAAAGCACCATCTCTAGAGATTCTTCTCAAAGCCATCAAATATAGTCCTATTTCACTTCCAACCCCCCTGTCCCAGGCTAAATATCAGGACTGGAGCTGTTTGGAGCATTTAGTTCCTGTAGCTCTACTGTCGGATCGGTCCCCTTCCTCATTCCCTCCGTCTTAGCCAGTGTCTTTCCCTCCGTCTCCTTGTAAGCGCCCTGACAGAAAACCCTGAAGTTATCCCCAACTAAGAAATAAAGGAGTGGGTCCAAGCAGCTGTTCCCCGCTGCGAGACACAGAGTGATCACAGCCGCTTTGCGTACACGCTCTATGTACCTACAGGAATCTCCATACCCCTTTTCCCTCGCATGCTGCTCAGCCTCCAGGAAGAGCGTCCTCATGACGTGGTAGGGCAGGAAACACACTAGGAAGATGCTAAGGACTATTACAACTAGGGACATGGACTTGTTGTGGTTTTTCGGCCTTCCTTCACCCTTCCTCAGCGTCAGCAGTCTACGCACCACAAATATGTAACAGACAGAGATGACTGCAAAGGGCACAATGAAGCCGAGGAGTACGGTGACGTGGTTGGCTATGATCAGTGTGTGGTTGTGAATGGGGTTGTATTCTGGGTTGAGCTCCAGGCACCTGGTTCTACCAGAAGCATCTCTGATGGTCCCTGGACTCAGCATAGGGATGGAGGCTAGCGACACCAGCAGCCAGACCAATAGGCACCCCAGCCAGGCATTACGTCTACTCTGCAGCTGCATATACCTGAACGGCTGGGTGACGGCCATGTAACGAAGCACACTCAGCACCATGAGGAAGTAGATGCTCCCGTACATGTTGACGTAGAAGACGTAGGACATAACTCGACAGGCGATGTCTCCAAACACCCAGTTAGACTCCATTAAGTAGTAGAAGGACCGGAGTGGTAGGGAGCACACCAGCATCAGGTCTGACACCAGCAGGTTTACCATGTACAGGTTGACAGGGGTAAACCTTTTCTTCCTCCTCCAGACACTGACGAAGAAGCAGAGGGAGACGAGGTTGAAGACGAGGCCGAGGGTGAAGATGACTAGGTAGGTGGGCGGGTAGACTCTGTGTTTGAACATGCTGATGGAGCAGTTAGAGGAAACGTTTCCATCTTCCATGATGACTGATTTATTCGTTTTAGATTGCTCCAGGTCAAAGAGAGAAGGAGAGGAGGGGGAGTAAAAGAGAGAGGTAAGGGAGGGGGGCAAAGAGACGAGAGAGAGGTCCCCCCCGCCCCCTCCCGGCCCCAACGAGTGGGTGCCCTTGGCGGTCCCCTCTTTCCTACAACTCCCCCCTTTTCCTCCATTTTGTCGCCCCCGGAAACCCCCTCATGACTTGGGGGGCAGGCCTGGATCTCTTTAAACTGGGGGGCATCTTTTTGGTTTTCCCTTTCCTTTCCCCCTTCCCCCCCACTCGCGTTACGCCCCCCCCTTTTAACGGAAAATTTGGCCAAAACCAATGGGCCAATACGTTGTTCATTTCTTTTTTGAGGGGGTTTTATTTTGGCCCCGGCACCTTTCCCCCGGGCACCGTGGCCCCGGGACCCCGCCTAAATTTTAGTGGGCCCAAATCGCAACCACATTGTTTCCTGGGCTTTCCCCTTTTCCCCCCCCACCCCTACGGCAAACACCCCCCCAAAAAAGTTTCCCCCTTTTACAAAAAGAAGCCTTTTAAGGCATGCCCCCAATTGCCCCTTTAAAAAGGGCCGGGATGGTGGGAAAGAACGAAAGGACGGATTTCCCAAAACCCTTTCCCAAAGATGCAAGGAGGAGGGGGAGGGGGGAAACCCGGGGGGGTTGAAAGGGGGGTTTACATGTAACGGTGGACGGGGAAAAAATTTTTTCCTTTTAAAAAACCCAAAAAAAAGACAAAAACAAAAAAGAAGGGAGAGGGAGGGGGGGAGAGGGGGGGGGAAAGAGGGAAAAACGGGGGGAGGGGGGGGGGGGGGGGGGAGGGGGGAAAAACCCGGAAAAAGGAGGGGGAAGGGGGGGGGGGGGGCAAAAGAGAAGGAGAGAAAAAGGGGGGGGGGCAAAAAAGAACGGAAGGGGAGGGAGGGGGAGGGGGGGGGGGCAAAAAGAGGAGGGGGGGGGGGGGGGGAAAAGGGGGGGGAAGGAGGGGGAGGGGAGGGGGGGCAAAAGAGAGAGGAGGGGGGGGGGGGGGGGGAAAAGGAGGGGGGGGGGGGGGGGGTGGGGAAAAAAAAGGGGCAGGGGGGGGGGGAAAAAGAAGAAGGGGGGGAAGGGGGGGAGGGGGGGCAAAAGGGGAAAAAGAAAAAGGGGGAGGGGGGAAAAAAAGGGGGAGAGGGGCGGGGGGGGGGCAAAAGGGAGGGGGGGGGGGGGGGGGAAGGGGGGGGGGGAGGGGGGGGGGGAGGGGGGGGGAAAAGGGAAGGGGGGGGGAGGGGGGAAAGGTAAAGGGCCCGGGGGGGGGGATAGGGGGGGGGCCCCCAAAGGGGAAGGGGGGGGGGGCAGGGAGAGGGGGGGGGGGGGCAAAAAGAAGAGGGAGGGGGGGGGGGGGGGGGGAAAGAGAGAGAGAGAGGAGGGGGGGGGGGGGGGGGCAAAGAAAGAGGAGAGGAGGGGAAGGGGGAGAGAAGGGGGAGGGGGGGGCAAAAAGAGAGGAGGAGGGAGGGGAAGGGGGGGGGGGGGGGGGGGAAAAGGAGAGAGAGAGAGAGAAGAGGAGAGGAGAGGGAGAGGAGAGGTATTTTATCAGGATCCCCATTAGCTGTTGCACTCTTCCTTGAGTCCACACAAAAGAGAGAGATGGATTGGTTTTTAAAAAAGCAACAAGTTAAATCAAGATTTGAGATGGCAGCAGTTACACAGCAGCACGAAGTGTGCTTTACAGTACTATACTATCATCTCTCACAGTGATCTTCTTTACCATAGTGACAGGCGATGTCTCCAAACACCCAGTTAGATTCCATTAAGTAGTAGAAGGACCAGAGTGGTAGGGAGCACACCAGCATCAGGTCTGACACCAGTTTCCTCCATTGGTGAAACATCAAAAATGAATGCTGAAGTTGGAGTGCAACAAACAGGTTTCAAACTCACTTCATCCGCATTCAAACTATAGGAGTGTTTCAAACCCTTTCCTCATATCTGTGGTTGTCAGGGGGATTTTTACAATTTACTGTCATCCTGATTACACATTACGTAGTGTAAACAATCATCGAAACCCAACCCTGTTCAGTTATCACTGATCTACCACATCGTCTGGGACAACAACAGAGTTTTGCTTCTCCAAAATCAAACGTTCTCAAATACCACAATCCTCTCTTGCCCTGCAGTGTAAATTTGCTTTCACTTTTAATAAGAAAGGATTATTAACAATAACAACTGAGAGAGCGAGAGAGAGAGAGAGAGAGAGAGATAGAGGGAGGAGAGAGAGAGAGAGTGAGAGAGAGAGAGAGAGCGAGAGAGAGAGAGAGGAGAGAGGAGAGGCGAGGAGAAGAGAGAGCGATGGAGAGCGAGAGAGAGAGAGAGGAGAGATTAACTGTAACCCATAAGTAAAGAATAAGAACAACAGCAGAACAACTAATAAAATGGTACATCTGGTTAGTTCTGGAGATTTGTAAAAGCCAAATTGCCTGAGTGTAAATAGTTTGGGCTACATGTTACCTGCCAAAATACCCCACCATCCCATGGACTCTCAATAATGTAAGAATTGCCCCATAACACAGCATTTACAAGCTTTAAACACTCAATACTTTATGTATGTGTGTTGTTATGTGTTAATAACGTGAAGATTACATTACCAAGCAGGCTATGCGAGGGGGAGAGTTGAAGTGTGCCTTGCATGGCTAAACAAGGAGACCGCTAGCTGAAGTATCAGTTTATTAAAAGTAGATCAACCTATGCCCCGGTTTGTCATTATTCATAGGAACAAACATAACAGGATAATGATCTTCCATACACATTGTACAACACGTTCTGTAACAAATGCCAAAACACAGCCATAAGCTGCAACAACAATCAATCTTAAAACAACAATTGACCATAATTTGATTTGTACCTACTGTGATGAGAAGCACCCTGACTCTGTCTTGATGATCAGCAGCTGTTCATCTCAGATCCACAGCGAGACTTCATTACAGAGTGGAGCAGGCTGAGCTGTTTGCAGGATCAACCCTAGAAACACTTGACTTTCAGTCTCCTTGGTTGGTAGTTTAATAATAACACCCCGCCCATTTCGTTTTCCAGTAAAGTCCTTTTAAAGGTAAATGTGAAAAAACACCAGGATAGCATCTCCCCTCAGCTTTACTGGTTGCCAATGGCACGAAGTCAAGAGAACGTGTTTAAACGTGTTTAAACGTGTCTGTGTGTCCTGTATTTCTGCATTTCATAAAGACTTGCTCACTGACTTTCCATTTTCAAAACTTTGTTTATTTGTTGGTGAGACAAATATTTTTCTACAACTCAGTTTAAAATCAGTCAATAAATCAATACATTGTTGTTATTATTATGAACTCTGGTGCCTGGTTTATGACTTCAGTCGGAGACTTTCTCTGCACACAGTTTTTTTCCAGGATGGAAAAATTCATACAGATCCAAAGTAAACAACCAGATGAAAACCCCTGACCTAAGGCCTATAAGGGCGGCAGCTAGCTTAGTGGGTAAGTAGCGTTGTGCCAGTAACCGAAAGGTCGCTGGTTCTAATCCCCGAGCCGACTAGGTGAAAAATCTGTCGATGTGCCCTTGAGCAAGGCACTTAACCCTAATCGCTCTGGATAAGAGCGTCTGCTAAATGTAAATGTATAAGGACCATTGCCTAGTCAGTAGTTCAAAATACATGTTTGTGCATCTTTATTTAACTAGGCAAGTCAGTTAAGAACAAATTCTTATTTACAATGACGGCCAAACCCGGACGACGCTGGGCCAATTGTGCGCCGACCTATGGGACTCCCAATCACGGCCGGTTGTGATACAGCCTGGAATCGAACCAGGGGGTCAATAGTGACGCCTCAAGCACTGAGATGCAGTGCCTTAGACCGCTGCGCCACTCGGGAGCCCAATATATTTCAGTTATTTATAATAATAATATGCCATTTAGCAGACGCTTTTATCCAAAGCGACTTACAGTCGTGCGTGCATAAAATGTTTTGTGTATGGGTGGTCCCGGGGATCGAACCCACTACCTTGGCGTTACAAGCGCCGTGCTCTACCAGCTGAGCTACAGAGGACCACTATTTATTTCTAATACTTTTGCAAAGATTTATAAAAACCTGTCTTTGCTTTGTCATTATGGGGTATTGTGTGTAGATTGGTGAAGGAAAAAAAGCAATTGAATCCATTTTAGAATAAGGCTGTAACGTAATAAAATGTGGAAAAAGGGGAAGGGGTCTGAATACTTTCCAAATGCACTGTATGTGGCCACTCCCCCCTGCACCACCCACCTCCTCCACCCCACGCCCACCTGCCCGCCTTCATCCCCCACCCCGCCATGTTGCCCCCCCCACCCCACCTCTACACAGGCATGGCGGGGGGCGTGGGAGACATGAGCTCCCAGTATATACCACAGTACCACCCAGCACACATTTACTCAGAGCAGGGTGAGTATATACACTACATAGTATACACTACATAGTATACACTACACACTACACGCTACATAGTATACACTACACAGTATACACTACACAATACACAGTATACACTACACAATACATAGTATACACTACATAGTATACACTATACACTACATAGTATACACTATACACTACATAGTATACACTACACACTACATAGTATACACTACACACTACATAGTATACACTACATAGTATACATTATAGACTACGTAGTATACACTATACACTACATAGTATACACTACATAGTATACATTATCGACTACATAGTATACATTATATACTACATACAGTGCATTTGGAAAGTATTCAGACCCCTTCCCCTTTTCCACATTTTGTTACGTTACAGCCTTATTCTAAAATGGATTCAATTGCTTTTTTTCCTTCACCAATCTACACACAATACCCCATAATGACAAAGCAAAGACAGGTTTTTATAAATGTTTGCAAAAGTATTAGAAATAAATAGTGTTCCTCTGTAGCTCAGCTGGTAGAGCGCGGCGCTTGTAACGCCAAGGTAGTGGGTTCGATCCCCGGGACCACCCATACACAAAAATGTATGCACGCATGACTGTAAGTCGCTTTGGATAAAAGCGTCTGCTAAATGGCATATTATTTATTATTATAAGTCTTCTCATGCTTTGTTGATTTCAAAAAAGCTTTTGGCTCAATTTGGCATGAGGGTCTGCTATACAAATGTATGGAAAGTGGTGTTGGGGGGAAAACATACGACATTATAAAATCCATGTACACAAACAGGTGTGCGGTTAAAATTAGCAAAAACACACACCTATGACTTGTCTGTAAAAAGGGGAAATATATTATGTTATGGTTACCAAAAGGGGAAATATATTATGTTATGGTTACCAAAAGGGGAAATATATTATGGTATGGTTACCAAAAGGGGAAATATATTATGTTATGGTTACCAAAAGGGGAAATATATTATGTTATGGTTACCAAAAGGGGAAATATATTATGTTATGGTTACCAAAAGGGGAAATATATTATATCATGGTTACCAAAAGGGGAAATATATTATATCATGGTTACCAAAAGGGGAAATATATTATATCATGGTTACCAAAAGGGGAAATATATTATGGTATGGTTACCAAAAGGGGAAATATATTATGTTATGGTTACCAAAAGGGGAAATATATTATATCATGGTTCCCAAAAGGAGAAATATATTATGTTATGGTTACCAAAAGGGGAAATATATTATATAATGGTTACCAAAAGGGGAAATATATTATATCATGGTTACCAAAAGGGGAAATATATTATATCATGGTTACCAAAAGGGGAAATATATTATATCATGGTTACCAAAAGGGGAAATATATTATATCATGGTTACCAAAAGGGGAAATATATTATGTTATGGTTACCAAAAGGGGAAATATATTATGTTATGGTTACCAAAAGGGGAAATATATTATGTTATGGTTACCAAAAGGGGAAATATATTATGTTATGGTTACCAAATGGGAAGAAAAAAAGATTGGGCCAAGATTATCTTAAAGATACTGTAAGTATCTCTCAATAACCCTGCACTGACATGTACAGTCATGGTCAAAAGTTTTGAGAATGACACAAATATTAATTTTCACAAAGTCTGCTGCCTCAGTTTTTATGATGGCAATTTGCATATACTCCAGAATGTTATGAAGAGTGATCAAATGAATTGCAATTAATTGCAAAGTCCCTCTTTGCCATGAAAATGAACTTAATCCCCAAAAAACATTTCCACTGCATTTCAGCCCTGCCACAAAAGGACCAGCTGACATCATGTCAGTGATTCTCTCATTAACACAGGTGAGAGTGTTGACGAGGACAAGGCTGGAGATCACTCTGTCATGCTGATTGAGTTAGAATAACAGACTGGAAGCTTTAAAAGGAGGGTGGTGCTTGAAATCATTGTTCTTCCTCTGTTAACCATGGTTACCTGCAAGGAAACACGTGCCGTCATCATTGCTTTGCACAAAAACGGCTTCACAGGCAAGGATATTGCTGCTAGTAAGATTGCACCTAAATCAACCATTTATCGGATCATCAAGAACTTCAAGGAGAGAGGTTCAATTGTTGTGAAGAAGGCTTCAGGGCGCCCAAGAAAGTCCAGCAAGCGCCAGGACCGTCTCCTAAAGTTGATTCAGCTGCGGGATCGGGGCACCACCAGTGCAAAGCTTGCTCAGGAATGGCAGCAGGCAGGTGTGAGTGCATCTGCACGCACAGTGAGGCGAAGACTTTTGGAGGATGGCCTGGTGTCAAGAAGGGCAGCGAGGAAGCCACTTCTCTCCAGGAAAAACATCAGGGACAGACTGATATTCTGCAAAAGGTACAGGGATTGGACTGCTGAGGACTGGGGTAAAGTCATTTTCTCTGATGAATCCCCTTTCGAATTGTTTGGGGCATCCGGAAAAAAAGCTTGTCCGGAGAAAACAAGGTGAGCGCTACCATCAGTCCTGTGTCATGCCAACAATAAAGCACCTGAGACCATTCATGTGTGGGGTTGATTCTCAGCCAAGGGAGTGGGCTCACTCACAATTGTGCCTAAGAACACAGCCATGAATAAAGAATGGTACCAACACATCCTCCAAGAGCAACTTCTCACAACCATCCAAGAACAGTTTGGTGACGAACAATGCCTTTTCCAGCATGATGGAGCACCTTGCCATAAGGCAAAAGTGATAACTAAGTGGCTCGGGGAACAAAACATCGACATTTTGGGTCCATGGCCAGGAAACTCCCCAGACCTTAATCCCATTGAGAACTTGTGGTCAATCCTCAAGAGGCGGGTGGACAAACAAAAACCCACAAATTCCGACAAACTCCCAAGCATTGATTATGCAAGAATGGGCTGCCATCAGTCAGGATGTGGCCCAGAAGTTAATTGACAGCATGCCAGGGCGGATTGCAGAGGTCTTGAAAAAGAAGGGTCAACACTGCAAATATTGACTCTTTGCATAAACTTAATGTAATTGTCAATAAAAGCCTTTGACACTTATGGAATGCTTGTAATTATACTTCAGTATACCATAGTAACATCTGACAAAAATATCTAAAAACACTGAAGCAGCAAACTTTGTGAAGACCAATACTTGTGTCATTCTCAAAACATTTGACCATGACTGTATTTTAGGCAATACTGTATATAAACCCTGGATTGCTGATGTATTGGCCATTGAGAGGCTTTGAAGCCAACGGTCGGCCATATTGACACTCCCCAGTAGCAGCAGTCCTCCCTAGGAATGAATGGAATTCTACAGTATTTCAATTAAATGTTTCAAGGACAAAATTACATTTATTTAAGTATTGTTTTGTTGAATCTATGAATTATGAATCTAAAAAAAATGATACATTTACAACTGCCAGGTCGCAGTTGTAAATGAGAACTTGTTCTCAACTGGCTTACCTGGTTAAATAAAGTTTTTTTTTTTTTTTTTTTTTTTTTTTTTTAAATAAGGCAAATGTATTGATATAACTTTTTTTATTTTTATGTTTAGCTCACATAATTTAAAAGTATGCATTAAGGTGTCTGTAATAGAATAAACGTGGCAAAAACGAATGTAGACATGAATAAATTCATTTCTATAGCTTCCAAAACAGCCCCCTTATGTCATCTAGTGTATATATAAATCACTTATTTTAGGCTACTGGAAAGGAATGATTTCAAATAAAACCTGTAGCAGTGTTGCCCATCAATCACCGTTTGCTGACGAATAAAACCTGTAGCAGTGTTGCCCATCAATCACCGTTTGCTGACGAATAAAACCTGTAGCAGTGTTGCCCATCAATCACCGTTTGCTGACGAATGCGCAGAACGGATGTGCTTGAATGTTGCTAGTGCTACGTTCACGAGTCAGTAAAAAGAGAACGCCCACCGATCAAGAAATGAACTCGGCAGTCAACTTGTACTGTCTGAATAGTAGTGATGGGATGTTCCCCTCTTTTTACTGACTCTGATCTTTTCGACTCGTTCAGTTAAAAGAACGAATCTTTCGACTCATTTCGTTCATTTGAGTCAGTAATGCCCAGAGCACGCAGGACCCCCTACCGGTGAATGATGAACTCACACCTGCCTGCTGCCAACTCTGTAGCTCAATTGGTAGAGCATGGCGCTTGTAACGCCAGGGTAGTGGGTTCGATCCCCGGGACCACCCATACGTAAAAATGTATGCACACATGACTGTAAGTCGCTTTGGATAAAAGCGTCTGCTAAATGGCATATTATTTATATTATCAAACTCGTCATGATTTTACAAGCCTCTCGTTCACCACAAGGGGTTTATTGTAGCTGTTATTTGTGACTGAGACTTGTAAAAGTGTGCTTTAAACAATGTACATGTATTTATCGCTAGGCATACAAATAAATAGTATTTATTGATACATTTGAAACAAGGTCTAGTTGTGGCCGCAACCGGACTAGTTTGTGAACGACTCTTGGCGGAATGCATTGCTTGACTGCTATTAGGGTGATAAAGCACAATGTCGTTCCAACTGCAGCACCCCAAACGATTCGTTCTCGAGTTCGTTGAGCAAAGGGAGGTATGTTTAGTGTATGTTTTGGTTCTACAAAGCTGTGTCCATCCTAACATTCAATTAATTGCATCCATTCTTGCACCATGCGATCATTTGTCAGTTCTAAACATGTATTATTCTTCTCTATGCTGTCTGCAGCATGATCTATTTTCCTGCACGCAGATATGACAGCCAGCTGTTGGTCGGAGCACATCTCCGGAGCGTGTATTTAACCCTGCTGTGGGATGAATTGGGGCCAGACAGCAGGTCAAACGAACGACTCACTCAGAAAAATGAATCATGACTCTCGAGTCAGTAAAAAGAGTCGTTCGCGAACTGCACATCACTGCTGAATAGCAAAGAAGCTTCCTCGGCCAGAGAAGGGGATCGGCACGGTTGGTTAGCTAGCACCTGTCTTCCGGAAATCTGATCGCTTTTACTCGATTTGCCATATGAAAATGTTAAGGAGTCGCCGATATCGCTGTCTGACACAACGACATCGTTGACGAATAGCACAACAACGCCGGTGGTAAGCTATGCTAGCTAGCTAGCGTACGCTACTTTAGCTTATTTTAGAAAACAATACCTTCGGCATCCTTGTCTGAGTCTTGTTGACGTTGGTGACAGTCAGCTAGTCATAGCAGGAACCTCTACAATGACAGTCAATAACTAAGCAGTTTTTTTAGTGTGTTGTTGTTGGCGTTAATTTAACCCACCACAGTTTCTAAATGACGTGTTTCTGCGGCTGAGTTTAGCTAAGCCAACGTCGCCATGACATCGCCTACAAGTGTGATCGGGGATTTCAGTTTCTGCATATCTCCATACTGTAACTGTCCTTAGCCACAGTAGCTAACGTTTGGGAAATAGTGTTCGGGATAAAACTCAACGATTTCCGATGGGGTTGAGCGGCGACTAGAGTGGGTAGACTGGAGCTCCGTTACACAGGGAATAGATAGCCTCTACGGATCCGAGAGTAGAAGACTGGAGCTCCGTTACACAGGGAATAGATAGCCTCTACGGATCCGAGAGTAGAAGACTGGAGCTCCGTTACACAGGGAATAGATAGCCTCTACGGATCCGAGAGTAGAAGACTGGAGCTCCGTTACACAGGGAATAGATAGCCTCTACGGATCCGAGAGTAGAAGACTGGAGCTCCGTTACACAGGGAATAGATAGCCTCTACGGATCCGAGAGTAGAAGACTGGAGCTCCGTTACACAGGGAATAGATAGCCTCTACGGATCCGAGAGTAGAAGACTGGAGCTCCGTTACACAGGGAATAGATAGCCTCTACGGATCCGAGAGTAGAAGACTGGAGCTCCGTTACACAGGGAATAGATAGCCTCTACGGATCCGAGAGTAGAAGACTGGAGCTCCGTTACACAGGGAATAGATAGCCTCTACGGATCCGAGAGTAGAAGACTCCTCTCTGGTCTCTAACATGTAGGCTCCCCTTTTGAGAATAGTCCAATCACAAGTCAGACTGTTGAATAAACTTCATTTGAATGTACTTTTACCTGTTGTCTGCTGATTTTAGACTTTATGTAGGAGGTAATCTGAGACAAATTATCCACACAGTAGTGTTCTTAAACCGCCTTTCAGTGTGCTGGTCTGTATTTCAGGGCTCATCTGTAAAAGAGACATTTACATTTACATGTTTGTCATTTAGCAGACGCTCTTATCCAGAGCGACTTACAGTTAGTGAGTGCATACATTTTTCATACTCCTTGGATTCAGTATGACTCCCTGATAAAATAAAGGTTAAATAAATAAAAATGTCGGTTTGTACCCTTACAAAAAAAGTGCCGTTTTGAAACTGCAGTTGACTGTGGTATTTTGGATGCAGTAATTGCAGAATTACTGCAATTGAACTGCAGTTACACTGCTCTCTGACTGCAATCTTTTCCCGTAAGGGTATTTCTGTTTTGTATTTTCAATGCTGACGGAATTCGCACGCGATTTGCACAATATGTTATTGTCCCGAATTTAACCGAAACACAGACAAAAGTTGTCCCACGTAATCAGCTGGCAAATTTCACCAGCACTTCCAGCTGATTGCGAGGGAACACGCTTTGGTCGACAACGTTCGGTTACATTCAGCTATTGTTTACATGTTGTGCATCGTGAAATCCGTCAGCAGATGGAAAATACAAGCAACAGAACCTACTGGCACATAACCTACCGGCACACTTTCCCGTGGTTACCCTATCTCCCTACCTCCTACTGCCAAAAGGACCAGCAGCACGGACAACCGGGAAAGTACGTTTAAATATCATTCTATTCCACATTCTGGCTTGTACAGACTTGCGTCTTTTTTTTTACAGCGACCTCTTTCAGACTAGGGTGCAGACTAGGGTGCCATTTGGGATGCAAACTTACATTCTGACACTTAAACTCTCCTTACTCACTCTAAACTGACACTGTTATGATTACTGATAAATCCACTAGACTGTCTGTCTCGAAATTCCCCCTGGCATTCCTGTGTTGACAGATTTACTTCCTTCGAATTATTATTATTTTTTTGCTAAGGGAAAATGTTGTTTGTGTGAACCAACCGTTTTCATTTCGTCAGTGATTCAACAACTGATGTTGCTAAAGTATTCTATGATGATGATGGATGGTAGCGAGTGTGTGTGTGTGTGTGTGTGTAATGTCTCTGTCTGTTTACCCTAGTTGAGTAGTAGTATGCTGGACGTGGGGAAGTGGCCAGTGTTTGCTCTCCTGCCTCCAGAGGAACTGCGTCTGATAAGACAGGCCTGTGTGTTCGGCAGCGCTGCCAACGAAGCCCTCTATGTCACCGTCAACGATGAGGTACGCTCAGCACCAGAGGCTGCAGACAGACACGGTGTACTTACCAAATGGCACCCTATTCCCTATGTAGTTCGCTATTTTTGACATTTACTTACCAAATGGCCCCCTAGTCCCTATGTAGTTCGCTATTTTTGACATTTACTTACCAAATGGCACCCTATTCCCTATGTAGTTCGCTATTTTTGACATATACTTACCAAATGGCACCCTATTCCCTATGTAGTTTGCTACTTTTGACATACAGTACCAGTCAAAAGTTTGGACACATACTAATGTAAGTGTTTTTCTTAATTTTTTACTATTTTCTACATTGTAGAAATAATAGTGAAGACATCAAAACTATGAAATAACACATATGGAATCATGTAGTAAACAAAAAAGTGTTAAACAAATCAAAATATATTTTATATTTGAGATTCTTCAAATAGCCACCCTTTGCCTTGATGACAGCTTTGCACACTCTTGGCATTCTCTCAACCAGCTTCATGAGGTAGTCACCTGGAATGCATTTCAATTAACAGGTGTGCCTTCTTAAAAGTTAATTTGTGGAATTTCTTTCCTTCTTAATGCGTTTGAGCCAATCAGTTGTGCTGTGACAAGGTAGGGTAAGAAGATAGCCCTATTTGGTAAAAGACCAAGTCCATATTATGGCAAGAACAGCTCAAATAAGCAAAGAGAAACAACAGTCCATCATTACTTTAAGACATGAAAGTCAGTTGATCCGGAAAATTAAGAACTTTGAAAGTTTCTTCAAGTGCAGTCGCAAAAACCATCATGCGCTATGGTGAAACTGGCTCTCATGAGGACCGCCACAGGAAAGGAAGACCCAGCGTTACCTCTGCTGCATAGGATAAGTTCATTAGAGTTATCAGCCTCAGAAATCGTCAATTCACTGCACCTCAGATTGCAGCCCAAATAAATGCTTCACAGAGTTCAAGTAACAGACACATCTCAACATCAACTGTTCAGAGGAGAATGCGTGAATCAGGCCTTCATGGTTGAATTGTTGCAAAGAAACCACTACTAAATGACACCAATAAGAAGAGGAGACTTGCTTGGGCCAAGAAACACAAGCAATGGACATTAGACCGGTGGAAATCTGTCCTTTGGTCTGATGAGTCCAAATTTGAGATTTTTGGTTCCAACCGCTGTGTCTTTGTGAGACGAAGATTAGGTGAACGGATGATGTCCGCATGTGTGAAGCATGGAGGAGGAGGTGTGATGGTGTGGGGGTGCTTTGCTGGTGACACTGTCAGTGATTTATTTAGAATTCAAGGCACACTTAACCAGAATGGCTACCACCGCATACTGCAGCGATATGCCATCCCATCTGGTTTGCGCTTAGTGGGACTATCAATTGATTTTCAACAGGACAATGACCCAAAACACCTCCAGGCTGTGTAAGTGCTATTTGACCAAGAAGGAGAGTGATTGAGTGCTGCATCAGATGACCTGTCCTCCACAATCACCCGACCTCAACCCAATTGAGATGAGTTGGAACGCAGCGTGAAGAAAAAAGCAGCCAACAAGTGCTCAGCATATGTGGGAACTCCTAACTATAGCCTACTACTATTATGTAAAAGACAAGCTCAAAGTTATATTCTAACACAGTCCGACGGGCCTAGTGTTTATGAAATAATTGTGTTTAGTACTTGGACGAGGCCCAGTAGGCTACTGGGCCTGACGGTAATCAGCAGCAGGAAGACGACTGGAAACAGAGAGGCCTTGTTGTTTGGTACACTGAGGCAGTGAGTTCCAAATGGCACCCTATTCCCTACATACAGTGCCATGCAAAAGTATTCAAACCCCTTGGATTTCTTCACATTTTATTGTGTCACAGAGTGGGATTTCAAATTGATTTAATTGTCATATTTTTGTCAACAAGCTACACACAATACTCTGTCAAAGTGGAAGAACATTGTTATGTAAAAAAAATGATTGATTAATAGAAATTTAAATAACAAAAATATAGTCGTTGCATAAGTATTCAGCTTCCTGAGTCGATACATGTTAGAAACCTTTGGCATCGATTACAGTTGTGAGTCTTCTTGGTTAAGTCTAAGAGCTTTGCACACCTGGATTGTACAATATTTGCCCATTATTATTTTCAAAGTTCTTCAAGCTCTATCAACTTGGTTGTTGAATATTGCTAGACAGCCATTTTCAAGTCTTGCCATAGATTTTCAAGCCGATTTTAAGTCAAAACTGTAACTAGGCCACTCAGGACATTCAATGTTGTCTTGGTAAGCAATTCCATTGTATATTTGGCCTTGTGTTTTAGGTTATTGTCCTGCTGAAAGGTGAATTTGTCTCCCAGTGTCTGTTGGAAAGCAGACTGGACCAGGTTTTCCTCTAGGATTCTGCCTGTGCTTTGCTCTTTTCCGTTTCTTTTCATCCTGAAAAACTCCCTAGTCCTTGCCGACGACAAGCATACCCATAACATGATACAGCCACCACCATTCTTGAAAATATGAAGAGGTACTCAGTGATGTGTTGTGTTGGATTTGCCCCAAACATAACGCTTTGTATTCAGGACATAAAGTATATTTCTTAGGCACAATTTTTGCAGTTTTACTTTAGTGCTTTATTGCAAACAGAATGCATGTTTTGGAATATTTTTATTCTGTACAGGCTTCCTTCTTTTCGCTATGTCATTTAGGTTAATATTGTGGAGTAACTACAATGTTGTTGATCCATCCTCAGATTTATCCCATCACAGCCATTAAACTCTGTAACTGTTTTAAAGTCACCGTTGGCCTCATGGTGAAATCCCCTGAACGGTTTCCTTCCTCTCCAGCAACTGAGTTAGGACGGACGCCTGTATCTTTGTAGTGACTGGGTGTAATTAATTTAATAACTTCACCGTGCTCAAAGGGATATTCAATGTGTCAAGGCGTCGGTGTGATGCGGTAGGACGAAGTGCTAATCCAAAAAACGTACTTTACTCGTAGGTAACGTAAATAACATAACCTCCACGCAGGGAGGAAACAAAACCCGCTCACAATACGACAACCAAAACATGCACAACACACAGTGGGAGCCAGAGGGTTAAATAGGGAAGACATAAATTACGTAATGGGAAACGGGTGTGACCAATACAGACAAAACAAGTAGAACATAGAAACATGGATCGGTAGCGGCTAGTACTCCGGTGACGACGAACGCCGAAGCCTGCCCGAGCAAGGAGGAGGAGGGGCAGCCTCGGCTGAATTCGTTGACACAATGTCTGCTTTTTTTTATCTTTCTCCATCTACCAATAGGTGCCCTTATTTGCGAGGCATTGGAAAACCTCCCTGGTCTTTGTGGTTGAATCTGTGTTTTGAAAATTCACTGCTCGACTGTTGGACCTTACAGATAATTGTATCTGTGGGGTACAGAGACGAGGTAGTCATCTAAAAAATAATGTTAAACAGTATTATTGCACACAAAGTCAATGCAACTTATTATGTGACTTGTTAAGCACATTTTTGCTCCTGAACTTATTTAGGCTTGCCATAACAAAAGGGTTGATTTACTTCTTGACTTAAGACATTTCAGCCTTTCATTTTTAATTAATTTGTACAAATTTTGAAAAACCCAATTCCACTTTTACATTATAGGGTATTGTGTGTAGGACAATGACACAACATCTCAATCCATTTTAAATTCAGGCTGTAACACAACAAAAGGTGGAAAACGTCAAGGGGTGTGAATACTTTCTGAAGGCACTGTATGGGGGGGAAGAGGAAGGGGTAGTCATTCAAAAATCATGTCCCCTATTATTTCACACAGAGTGAGTCCATGTGACTTATTATGTGATTTGTTGAGCTACATTTTACTCCTGAACTAATTTAGGCTAAACAAGGGGGCTGAATACTTATGCAACGACTGTAAGTTATGCATTTTAATAAATACAAATAAATAAAAAAATCTTCCACTTTCACATTAGAGTATTATGTGTAGATTGTTGACAAGAAATTACAAATCCAGTTTAATTCCACTTTGTAACACAATAAAATGTGAAGAAATCCTTGCAAAAGTATTTCGGATGAATACTTTTTGCAAGGCACTGTATAGGCAATAGGGTGTAATTTGGGACAGTGATAGTTCTAGAGACAGGGTAAAGCAGATAGTGGGGCTATATTTAGCCCTGTAAAGCAGATAGTGGGGCTATATTTAGCCCTGTAAAGCCAGTACAAGCCCTTTTTGATCCATGTGAAAGCCTCCAGTTCATGTCTGACTGCGTCTTCACACACTGATCCATTTGTTTTTCTCAGAGGGACCCAGTTTACAGCCAGACAATGTTTCTTTCTTTTTATCATGCGGTGTCTTTATAAACACAAAACTATGACAATTTGTTGTCATAGTAGCACCCAGACTAAACTTATTCTAAGGTCTTTCAACAAAAATTTCTCCATGCATGCTTTTTAGTTCAAGCATAGGATTAGCCTGGGTCCGGGAAACGGGCCCTAGATGTTTATCATGGAAATAATGTGATAAGAATGAGTTATGGGGACAAAAAAAACATGCCTAATATAGTTTTACGATCCTTTTTAGCTCATAGAAATCAAGCAGAGCCATATGAGCTCTGGTCAAAAAGTACTGCACTCTACAGGGAATAGGGTGTCATTTGGGACTCAACCAAGCTGTCTTGCTCCTCCATTGTACAGGTGTTCGCCCTGGGCACAAACTGTAGTGGCTGTCTGGGTCTGGGGGACCTCCAGAGCACCATAGAGCCCCGCAGGATCGACGTGCTATGTGGGAAGAAGATAGTCTCTCTGAGCTACGGAACAGGACCACATGTAGTCATCGCTACTGCCGGTGAGATGAGACGGTCTAAATCATGTTTGGTACATGTGTTGCTTGTTAAAGTGGGATTCCCTATATATTTTTGTATGTTTTCTTGTCAAGAAATAGATTCTGTATTTTCCCTGAGTATAAGGTAGACATTGGATTGAGGTTATATCTTACAACAAGTGGTTTAATTCTGACCTATAAATGTGGATATTTGTCAACTAAATCAAATCAATCTATTATATGCGCTGTGTAGATGGAGAGGTGTTTGCCTGGGGCCACAATGGTTACAGCCAGCTGGGCAATGGGACCACCAACCATGGCCTGACCCCAGCTCAGGTCTCCACTAACCTGCTCAACAAGAGGGTGACTGAGGTGGCCTGTGGCTCTCACCACACCATTGCCCTCACTACCGACGGAGAGGTAGGATGCATCCCAAATTGCACCCTATTTCTTATAGTGCACCACTTTTGACCAGGGCCCATAGTTATGGGCTATTACCAGGGTACAGGAAGTAGAAAATAACATGGCTATATACAGGAAGTAGAAAATAACATGGCTATATACAGGGAGTAGAAAATAACATGGCTATATACAGGAAGTAGAAAATAACATGGCTATATACAGGGAGTAGAAAATAACATGGCTATATACAGGAAGTAGAAAATAACATGGCTATATACAGGAAGTAGAAAATAACATGGCTACATACAGGAAGTAGAAAATAACATGGCTATATACAGGAAGTAGAAAATAACATGGCTATATACAGGAAGTAGAAAATAACATGGCTATATACAGGGAGTAGAAAATAACATGGCTACAAACAGGAAGTAGAAAATAACATGGCTATATACAGGGAGTAGAAAATAACATGGCTATATACAGCCACGCTCAAGGTCCTAAACGATATTATAACCGCGATTGATAATAGACAGTACTGTGCAGCCGTCTTCATCGACCTGGCCAAGGCTTTCGACTCTGTCAACCACCGCATTCTTATTGGCAGACTAAATAGCCTTGGTTTCTCAAATGACTGCCTCGCCTGGTTCACCAACTACTTCTCAGATAGAGTTCAGTGTGTCAAATCGGAGGGCCTGTTGTCTGGACCTATGGCAGTCTCTATGGGGGTGCCACAGGGTTCAATTCTTGGGCCGACACTTTTCTCCGTGTATATCAATGATGTCGCTCTTGCTGCTGGTGACTCTCAGATCCACCTCTACGCAGACGACACCATTTTGTATACATCTGGCCCTTCATTGGACACTGTGTTAACAAACCTCCAAACGAGCTTCAATGCCATACAACACTCCTTCAGTAGCCTCCAACTGCTCTTAAACACTAGTAAAACTAAATGCATGCTTTTCAATCGAACGCTGCTGGCACCCGCCCACCCGACTAGAATCACCACTCTCGACGGGTCTGACCTAGAGTATGTGGACAACTACAAATACCTAGGTGTCTGGTTAGACTGTAAACTCAACTTCCAGACTCACATAAAGAATCTCCAATCCAAAGTTAAATCTAGAATCGGCTTCCTATTTCGCAACAAAGCCTCCTTCACTCATGCTGCCAAACATGCCCTCGTAAAACTGACTATCCTACCGATCCTTGACTTCGGCGATGTCATTTACAAAATAGCCTCCAACACTCTACTCAGCAAATTGGATGTAGTCTATCACAGTGCCATCCGTTTTGTCTCCAAAGCCCCATACACTACCCACCACTGTGACCTGTACGCTCTTGTTGGCTGGTCCTCACTACATGTTCGTCGTCAAACCCACTGGCTCCAGGCCATCTATAAATCACTGCTAGGCAAATCCCCGCCTTATCTTAGCTCATTGGTCACCATAGCAGCACCCACCCGTAGTCTGCGCTCCAGCAGGTATATCTCACTGGTCATTCCCAAAGCCAACACCTCCTTTGGCCGCCATTCCTTCCAGTTCTCTGCTGCCAATGACTGGAACGAATTGCAAAAATCTCTGAAGCTGGAGACTCTTATCTCCCTCACTAACTTTAAGCATCAGTTGTCAGAGCAGCTTACCGATCACTGCACCTGTACACAGCCCATCTGAAATTAGCCCACCCAACTACCTCATCCCCATATTGTTATTTATTTTGCTCTTTTGCACCCCAGTATCTCTATTTGCACATAATCTCTTGCACATCTAGCATTCCAGTGTTAATACTATTGTAATTATTTTGCACTATAGCCTATTTATTGCCTTACCTCCATAACTTGCTACATTTGCACACACTGTATATATATTTTCTGTTGTATTTTTGACTTCATGTTTTTTACCCCATATGTAACTCTGTGTTGTTTTTATCGCACTGCTTTGCTTTATCTTGGCCAGGTCGCAGTTGTAAATGAGAACCTGTTCTCAACTGGCTTACCTGGTTAAATAAAGGTGAAATAAAATAAATAAATAAAAAAGTAGAAAATAACATGGCTACATACAGGAAGTAGAAAATAACATGGCTACATACAGGAAGTAGAAAATAACATGGCTATATAAAGGAAGTAGAAAATAACATGGCTATATACAGGAAGTAGAAAATAACATGGCTACATACAGGAAGTAGAAAATAACATGGCTATATACAGGAAGTAGAAAATAACATGGCTATATACAGGAAGTAGAAAATAACATGGCTATATACAGGAAGTAGAAAATAACATGGCTATATACAGGAAGTAGAAAATAACATGGCTATATACAGGAAGTAGAAAATAACATGGCTATATACAGGAAGTAGAAAATAACATGGCTATATACAGGGAGTAGAAAATAACATGGCTATATACAGGAAGTAGAAAATAACATGGCTATATACAGGAAGTAGAAAATAACATGGCTATATACAGGGAGTAGAAAATATCATGGCTATATACAGGAAGTAGAAAATAACATGGCTATATACAGTGTTACAGGCTTTGGTTTTTCCATTAATAGTTAGAGTTTGCACGTGGGGCGCACAGATTGGTGTCATCTCGTTAGTGGGAAGGTGTTTCACCAGTATGAAAAACGTATGCACTCACTAACTATAAATCGCTCTGGATTAGAGTGTCTGATAAAATGACTAAAATGTAAATGTAAATGCTGGCCCAGGTGATATTTAAGAGTGGCTGGCCCAGGTGATATTTAAGAGTGGCTGGCCCAGGTGATATTTAAGCGTGGCTGGCCCAGGTGATATTTAAGAGTGGCTGGCCCAGGTGATATTTAAGAGTGGCTGGCCCAGGTGATATTTAAGAGTGGCTGGCCCAGGTGATATTTAAGAGTGGCTGGCCCAGGTGATATTTAAGAGTGGCTGGCCCAGGTGATATTTAAGAGTGGCTGGCCCAGGTGATATTTAAGAGTGGCTGGCCCAGGTGATATTTAAGAGTGGCTGGCCCAGGTGATATTTAAGAGTGGCTGGCCCAGTGCCCCGGTTGTCTTGATAGATGTGGAGCGTTAACACCTTTAGTTGTCTCTCCCTATTTGACTTCTAGAAAAACATGTTTTAATCTGATCTTTCCTGTTTTCATTTTGCTCCACTTTGTGGTTTGCTTCCTGTCTTTCAGTTTGTGGGTTTTTCTTGTCTTTGCCTCTTCTTGGGCAGATTTAGTGGGTCTCATGGTGGTCGTCTTTTAGGTCCCAGGTGTTGTTGCTAGTCAACTTCCAGTGGACCCCCCCATGAGTGTCTCTCAGAACCCCTCCTAAAACACCACCTGTTTAGTTTCGGTTGTTGTCAGTGACTCTTTGTTAGTTCCCCCTTCTGTTTGAGTGACATTTTTTGGTATTCTTGCCGGGGAACGTAATAAAATGGGGGCTTGTCCGGGATCCTGTTTCCCATGAGTGTGGTAGTCGCTCTAATCTCCTACTCTGGTGCTCTGCTGTGCCAAGCTATTTGAATGTTCAAAATACACTTTTGTGGTAGAGTTTCTGTCACTGACATCCACCCTGAGGGGTTATAATATTGGTGGAATCATTTTTAAAGTTGCATAAACACACAGGTAAATAAAACAAAGCCATGGACTTTATGTTGGAAGCATTTGTGGAAAACCTTACATGGGAGATACTAGATAAATGTACGAAGGCGAATCTGCTCATTGCAAAGCATTATGACATCAAAGAGGCATCTGGCGATCCGAAAGCAGTAGTCAAAGAGTTGATCAGTACTGTTTTGGTGGAGGAGGAAATCCTCTCGGAGAGAGAGGCTGATAAAAAAGGGGTGCGACTGGTAGTGGGGTGAGTCCCGTAGACGTGCAACTGAGGGAGTTAGAACTAAAGGCAAAGTTGGAGCAACATCAATTAGAGTTGGAGCACAGGGAAAGACAAGATGAACACGCAGCCAAACAACAAGAAGGTGAACATAAAGCCAAACAACAAGAAGGTGAACATGAAGCCAAACAACAAGAAGGTGAACACGCAGCCAAACAACAAGATGGTGAACACGCAGCCAAACAACAAGAAGATGAACACGCAGCCAAACAACAAGAAGATGAACACGCAGCCAAACAACAAGATGGTGAACATGCAGCCAAACAACAAGAAGGTGAACACGCAGCCAAACAACAAGAAGGTGAACATGAAGCCAAACAACAAGATGGTGAACATGCAGCCAAACAACAAGAAGGTGAACACGCAGCCAAACAACAAGAAGGTGAACATGCAGCCAAACAACAAGAAGATGAACATGCAGCCAAACAACAAGAAGGTGAACATGAAGCCAAACAACAAGAAGATGAACACGCAGCCAAACAACAAGATGGTGAACATGCAGCCAAACAACAAGAAGGTGAACATGCAGCCAAACAACAAGAAGGTGAACACGCAGCCAAACAACAAGAAGGTGAACATGAAGCCAAACAACAAGAAGGTGAACACGCAGCCAAACAACAAGAAGATGAACATGCAGCCAAACAACAAGAAGGTGAACACGCAGCCAAACAACAAGAAGGTGAACACGCAGCCAAACAACAAGAAGGTGAACACGCAGCCAAACAACAAGAAGGTGAACACGCAGCCAAACAACAAGAAGGTGAACATGCCATTCAATTAAGAGGGATAGATCTGTAAGCACTCCGAATCCAGTCAGGCTACCCTGCACCATAAACAGAGTTTGATCTTGGTCAGAACAGCCGGCTTGTACCGCCTTTCAACGAAAAAGAGGTGGGTGTATATTTAACTGGGTTGCCACATCCCTAAAATGGACGCGAGAGATTTGGTCACTACCCCTCCATAGTGTTCTGGTGGGAAAAGCTCAAAGAGTACGCCGCTTTATCTCTTCACCAGAGCTCAGATACTGACACTGATAAAAGCTGCTATCTTTCAGGCTTACAAGTTGGTCCCAGAGGCATAAAGACAACAGTTCCGTAAATTACGAAAGACAGAATCACAAAGCCATGTTGAGTTATGCAAGGAAAAAGCATGTCTTTTTAAACAGTGGTGTGTTTCTCAAGAGGTCAATGACCTTGAGGATTTTAAGACACTCCTACTTCTCGAGCCTGTCCTTCATGTTGGAGGGTGTTTTGTCTTTGTCTGACACTTCAGCAACTGGTTACGGTGTGTTAGTACAAGGCGTGGAGATTGGTTGCATGGAAGTTTCCGTTGTCGTTGGAGTGAGGCTTAGCCTACCGGTGAAGGGGGTCTCATTCATTTTGGGAAACGATTTGGCTGGAGGGAAGGTCGTGCCGAATCCTGTAGTTTGTAAGGAACCCGGAGTAGAGGAACCCGATGTGTTATCAGTAAAGTACCCTAGACTGTTCCCAGTGTGTGCTGTTACACCTGCTATGTCTAAGAAAGTCACCGGGAGCAAGTCTAGTGTTGAGGAGGATGTCAGAGATTCCCACCATAGCAAGTCTAGTGTTGAGGAGGATGTCAGAGATTCCCACCATAGCAAGTCTAGTGTTGAGGAGGATGTCAGAGATTCCCACCATAGCAAGTCTAGTGTTGAGGAGGATGTCAGAGATTCCCATCATAGCAAGTCTAGTGTTGAGGAGGATGTCAGAGCTCCCACCATAGCAAGTCTAGTGTTGAGGAGGATGTCAGAGATTCCCACCATAGCAAGTCTAGTGTTGAGGAGGATGTCAGAGCTCCCACCATAGCAAGTCTAGTGTTGAGGAGGATGTCAGAGATTCCCACCATAGCAAGTCTAGTGTTGAGGAGGATGTCAGAGCTCCCACCATGGGCGATCTGTCAGAGACGTTTATGGGTGATCCTGATTTCGGGGAAACCTCCTGAGTTGACCTCTCCTTGGAAAACTCCTGAAGCTGAAGAGGTTTCCTACAGTTGACACTTCGATGTCTAGGAATCAGCTGATTGCTGAACAGACTAAAGATGTTTCCCTCTCCCCTCTTTTTGCTGAGATACAGTGGGGAGAACAAGTATTTGATACACTGCCGATTTTGCAGGTTTTCCTACTTACAAAGCATGTAGAGGTCTGTAATTTTTATCATAGGTACACTTCAACTGTGAGAGACGGAATCTAAAACAAAAATCCAGAAAATCACATTGTATGATTTTTACGTAATTAATTTGCATTTTATTGCATGACATAAGTATTTGATACATCAGAAAAACAGAACTTAATATTTGGTACAGAAACCTTTGTTTGCAATTACAGAGATCATATGTTTCGTGTAGGTCTTGAACAGGATTGCACACACTTCAGCAGGGATTTTGGCCCACTCCTCCATACAGACCTTCTCCAGATCCTTCAGGTTTCGGGGCTGTCGCTGGGCAATACGGACTTTCAGCTCCCTCCAAAGATTTTCTATTGGGTTCAGGTCTGGAGACTGGCTAGGCCACTCCAGGACCTTGAGATGCTTCTTACGGAGCCACTCCTTAGTTGCCCTGGCTGTGTGTTTCGGGTCGTTGTCATGCTGGAAGACCCAGCCACAACCCATCTTCAATGCTCTTACTGAGGGAAGGAGGTTGTTGGCCAAGATCTCACGATACATGGCCCCATCCATCCTCCCCTCAATACGGTGCAGTCGTCTTGTCCCCTTTGCAGAAAAGCATCCCCAAAGAATGATGTTTCCACCTCCATGCTTCACGGTTGGGATGGTGTTCTTGGGGTTGTACTCATCCTTCTTCTTCCTCCAAACACGGCGAGTGGAGTTTAGACCAAAAAGCTATATTTTTGTCTCATCAGACCACATGACCTTCTCCCATTCCTCCTCTGGATCATCCAGATGGTCATTGGCAAACTTCAGACGGGCCTGGACATGCGCTGGCTTGAGCAGGGGGACCTTGCGTGCACTGCAGGATTTTAATCCATGACGGCGTAGTGTGTTACTAATGGTTTTCTTTGAGACTGTGGTCCCAGCTCTCTTCGGGTCATTGACCAGGTCCTGCCGTGTAGTTCTGGGCTGATCCCTCAACTTCCTCATGATCATTGATGCCCCACGAGGTGAGATCTTGCATGGAGCCCCAGACCGAGGGTGATTGACCGTCATCTTGAACTTCTTCCATTTTCGAATAATTGCGCCAACAGTTGTTGCCTTCTCACCAAGCTGCTTGCCTATTGTCCTGTAGCCCATCCCAGCCTTGTGCAGGTCTACAATTTTATCCCTGATGTCCTTACACATCTCTCTGGTCTTGGCCATTGTGGAGAGGTTGGAGTCTGTTTGATTGAGTGTGTGGACAGGTGTCTTTTTATAAAGGTAATGAGTTCAAACAGGTGCAGTTAATACAGGTAATGAGTGGAGAACAGGAGGGCTTCTTAAAGAAAAACGAACAGGTCTGTGAGAGCCGGAATTCTTACTGGTTGGTAGGTGATCAATTACTTATGTCATGCAATAAAATGCAAATTAATTACTTAAAAATCATATAATGTGATTTTCTGGATTTTTGTTTTAGATTCTGTCTCTCACAGTAGAAGTGTACCTATGATAAATATTACAGAACTCTACATGCTTTGTAAGTAGGAAAACCTGCAAAATCGGCAGTGTATCAAATACTTGTTCTCCCCACTGTATGTCCAGAGAAGGAGTTTGAAGTTCGGGGGGGGGGGGGGGTTACTTTGACAGAGATGGTGTTCTAATGAGAAAATTCCATTCTCGCGCCACTTCCCGGGCAACACGATTGGCCCAGTGTATCTCAAATTGTCGTTTCCAGTTAAGCTTCGACAAGAGATACTGAGTTTGGCTCACGATGGTAGTATGGCAGGCCATCTTGGGGTCAACAAGACGTATGACCGTAATTTCGTCTGGCCTGGTCTGAAACAGGATGTTGTGTCTTACTGTAAATCCTGTCGCGTTTTGCCCAGCGGACGGGTAAACCGAACCAAGCAGTACCGGTTGCACCCTTTGCAGCCTATTTCCTGCTTTTGACAAACCTTTCAGCAGGGTTCTGGTGGATTGTGTTGGTCCTTTGCCCAAAGCCAAGAGTGGGAACCAGTTTGTCTTAACCATACTTTTTGGCTGCCATTCATTTCCCTGAGGCCATTCCACGGAGGAAAATCACGGCTCCCAGTATTGTTAAGGCCCTGGTGAAATTATTTTCAACATTTGGACTTCCGCAAGTAGTGCAATTGACATGAAATTCGAACCTTGGTCCAAAGGTATTCCAGCAATTGGGTGTTGCCCATTGCCCCTCTAGTGTCTACCACAGGTTCTCTTGAGAGATTTCATCAGACTTAAATCATTCTCTCTACTATTATTCTGACATTTCAACATTCTTAAAATAAAGTGGTGATCCTAACTGACCTAAAACAGGGAATTTCTGCTAGGATTAAATGTCAGGAATTGTGATAAACTGAGTTAAAATATATTTGGCTAAGATGTATGTAAACTTCCGACTTCAACTGTATGCCCTCCCAGGCCCACCCATGGCTGCGCTACTGTCGCATGACTGGTCTTCCATAGATTAGGGCCTAATTAATATATTTCAATTGACTGATTTTCCTTATGAACTGTAACTCAGTCAAATTGGTGAAATTGTTGCATGTTGCATTTATATTTTTGTTCAGTATAAATAGGATTTGAGGCAATTCAAACTGCCCAATGTGAACACGGCTTTTGTTAGATCCTTCTTCTGTTTGAGCGAAAATGTTGCTGTGGAACGTAACAGGGCGTACCGAGTCGATGTGCAGGGGGACGAGGTGATCGAGGTAGATGTGGACATAAGAGTTTGTATCTGTGTGCATCTGTTCTTAAATGTTCTGGTTTTGTTGTGAATTTCTTAGGTTCTGTGACCTTTTAACCTTTCCCTTTGCCCTCTGACATCTCTCCCCCCCCCCAGGTGTTTGCATGGGGCTACAACAACTCTGGCCAGGTGGGGTCGGGGTCGACGGCCAACCAGCCCACGCCCCGCAGGGTCAGCAGCTGTCTACAGAACAAAGTGGTGGTTAATATCGCCTGTGGTCAGCTCTGTTCCATGGCTGTGCTGGACAATGGAGAAGTAAGGATACTTTTAAGTAGCTACTTAATACAACAAGTATTGGGGCGGCAGGTAGCTTAGTGGTTAAGAGCGTTGTGCCAGTAACCGAAAGGTCTCTGGTTCAAATCCTCGAGCCGACTAGGTGAAAAATCTGTCTGTGCCCTTGAGCAAGGCACTTAACCCTAATAGCTCCTGTAAGTATTTATGCATAGTCACTTTAACTCTACCCACATGTACATATTACCTCAACTAGCCGGTGCCCCCGCACATTGACTATGCAACGGTACCCCCCTGTATATATAGCCTCCCTACTGTCACTTTATTCTATTGTATATATAGCCTCCCTACTGTCACTTTATTTTTTACTTCTGCTCTTTTTTTCTCAACACTTTTTTGTTGTTGTTTTATTCTTACTTTTTTGTTTAAAATAAATGCACTGTTGGTTAAGGGCTGTAAGTAAGCATTTCACTGTAATGTCTGCACCTGTTGTATTCGGCGCATGTGACCAATAAAATTTGATTTGATTTGATTTGAAGTCGCTCTGGATAAGAGCGTCTGCTAAATGACTAAAAATTGTAATGTATTATGCGGTCATGTTAGAGTTAAGTCAAGGCCTAGTTTGTCTGAATGTCACAAAGAGAGCGGATGGAAATGTTACGCAATGTAAGAAATCAATGCATTTATCGGTAGTTCATTAAGTCCTAGCAGATGAGTCTGTTTTCATATTCAAGTATTGATTGGGCTGCAGGAAATATAATGGCTGTCTAAAATAGATCATTTGTGCTTTTGAGAGAGGAAGACTGCAGATGCATCCAATGAAGTCAGTGAGTTAGGATGTAAACAGTCTCACTTTTAATGTTGTCATGTTTGGGCGACCCTGTCCCCTGTTGCTGTCTGTTTGACTCAGTGGAACTATAACCCTGTCCTGTTGCTATCTGTTTGCAGACCTATGGTTGGGACTATAACCCTGTCCTGTTGCTATCTGTTTGCAGACCTATGGTTGGGACTATAACCCTGTCCTGTTGCTATCTGTTTGCAGACCTATGGTTGGGACTATAACCCTGTCCTGTTGCTATCTGTTTGCAGACCTATGGTTGGGACTATAACCCTGTCCTGTTGCTATCTGTTTGCAGACCTATGGTTGGGACTATAACCCTGTCCTGTTGCTATCTGTTTGCAGACCTATGGTTGGGACTATAACCCTGTCCTGTTGCTATCTGTTTGCAGACCTATGGTTGGGACTATAACCCTGTCCTGTTGCTATCTGTTTGCAGACCTATGGTTGGGACTATAACCCTGTCCTGTTGCTATCTGTTTGCAGACCTATGGTTGGGACTATAACCCTGTCCTGTTGCTATCTGTTTGACTCAGTGGGACTATAACCCTGTCCCCTGTTGCTATCTGTTTGACTCAGTGGGACTATAACCCTGTCCCCTGTTGCTATCTGTTTGACTCAGTGGGACTATAACCCTGTCCTGTTGCTGTCTGTTTGACTCAGTGGGACTATAACCCTGTCCCCTGTTGCTATCTGTTTGCAGACCTATGGTTGGGGCTATAACTGCAACGGACAGCTTGGTCTGGGCAACAATGGGAACCAGCAGACCCCCTGTAGGATCGCAGCTTTACAGGGAGTCAACATTATACAGGTGAGGAGTCAACATTATACAGGTAGGGAGTCAACATTATACAGGTGAGGAGTCAACATTATACAGGTGAGGAGTCAACATTATACAGGTGAGGAGTCAACATTTATACAGGTGAGGAGTCGACATTTATACAGGTGAGGAGTCAACATTTATACAGGTGAGGAGTCAACATTTATACAGGTGAGGAGTCAACATTATACAGGTGAGGAGTCAACATTATACAGGTGAGGAGTCAACATTATACAGGTGAGGAGTCAACATTATACAGGTGAGGAGTCAACATCATACAGGTGAAGAGTCAACCCATTCTCTCTCTGTTAGCTCTGTGTGGGGACTCATGGCCAGTGTGTCAGAGCCCTGAATGAAAAACTGTATTACCCTCAATGGAATTTGACCATTTGTATATCACAAGAAAGACGAGGGTAACATCCTGTTGTTGGTTGTGCTGTGCAGGTAGGAAGATGCAGGGTAATGACATAGGAAGAAGGTCTGAATATGAATGTCCTGGTTCTTGTCTGTGCCGTGCAGGTTGCTTGTGGCTACGCCCATACGCTGGCGCTGACAGACGAGGGCTTTATCTACGCCTGGGGTGCCAACTCTTACGGGCAGCTGGGGACAGGCAACAAGAGTAACCAGGCTGTCCCCACACTCATCAACACAGACAAGGAGAGGTGAGTTCCTCTGTCCCAGTCAGGACGGCCTCCAGGGCCCCAGGGTAGGACGGCCTCCAGGGCCCCAGGGTAGTACGGCCTCCAGGGCCCCAGGGTAGGACGGCCTCCAGGGCCCCAGGGTAGGACGGCCTCCAGGGCCCCAGGGTAGGAGGGCCCCAGGGTAGGACGGCCTCCAGGGCCCCAGGGTAGGACGTTCTCCAGGGCCCCAGGGTAGGACGGCCTCCAGGGCCCCAGGGTAGGACGGCCTCCAGGGCCCCAGGGTAGGACGGCCTCCAGGGCCCCAGGGTAGAACAGCCACCAGGGCCCCAGGGTAGGCCCCAGGGCCCCAGGGTAGGACGGCCTCCAGGGCCCCAGGGTAGGACGGCCTCCAGGGCCCCAGGGTAGGACGGCCTCCAGGGCCCCAGGGTAGGACGGCCTCCAGGGCCCCAGGGTAGGACGGCCTCCAGGGCCCCAGGGTAGGACGGCCTCCAGGGCCCCAGGGTAGGACGGCCTCCAGGTAGGCTTGGGCGGTATCTAGATTTCCATACCTTCATATTTTTCTGATGTCACACGCCGCTATACAGTATTATCCTGGTTTGTTAATGGAACTTCCCTTTCTCCACTAGCGCTGCCATAGACATTAGCCGACGCATTGACACCCATAACACTTTAGTGAAGTTGTTCTTGTGCACGCTGCAAAGAGATCTGTTAAACCCAGGTCCTGACCCTGTGCTCTGTGATCAGTAACCATCTCATGGCACCTATCACAAGTATAGAGGTGTTAACCCCGATGCCGACTACCAACCTGGTGAAATAAGGGTTAAATGAATGAATAGCCCCCGACTACCAACCTGGTGAAATAAGGGTTAAATGAATGAATAGCCCCCGACTACCAACCTGGTGAAATAAGGGTTAAATGAATACCAGGCGGTAACCAGAGGTCACATCTCTTTGGGCCATCCAGTGGGTCACTCACAGGACCCCATGGATGTTGGGTCATCTATGGGCTAACTACCTCACAGGACCCCATGGATGTTGGGTCATCTATGGGCTAACTACCTCACAGGACCCCATGGATGTTGGGTCATCTATGGGCTAACTACCTCACAGGACCCCATGGATGTTGGGTCATCTATGGGCTAACTACCTCACAGGACCCCATGGATGTTGGGTCATCTATGGGCTAACTACCTCACAGGACCCCATGGATGTTGGGTCATCTATGGGCTAACTACCTCACAGGACCCCATGGATGTTGGGTCATCTATGGGCTAACTACCTCACAGGACCCCATGGATGTTGGGTCATCTATGGGCTAACTACCTCACAGGACCCCATGGATGTTGGGTCATCTATGGGCTAACTACCTCACAGGACCCCATGGATGTTGGGTCATCTATGGGCTAACTACCTCACAGGACCCCATGGATGTTGGGTCATCTATGGGCTAACTACCTCACAGGACCCCATGGATGTTGGGTCATCTATGGGCTAACTACCTCACAGGCAGCTGTGTAGACTAAAGACTGGACCACCTGGCTTGGTGCCCAGGGGCGGGGCTAGGAGACTGTGGCTCGTCTGCAGGGTGTTTCCATTACTATTAGTATTATTAGTATTATTATTGCAATCAATCGTATACATTTTTTGATAATTATTGATCGCTGGCGTCTTGCCCTGGTGCTGCTAGCCTGAGGGTTATTTGGATTGAAATCTCACATTGTCCTTGTCAAATTAAATGAACAAACTAATGTGCATGCAGGTGTAGCTAGTTGTAAATCAGAACTGTCATGACTGTTCTCTTGGTCTCATCTTCCCCGTACTGATACATACCATTCATTTGCAATAGCCCCGTTTATACCTGGCGCCAACATGGGTCCTTGGTCCTGATCTTGTCTACATTCTGATTGTGACCACATTTCCAGATAGGCGTCTACACATGGTACTGAAATGTCCACTGAGTCTGCACTGTGACCAGATTTCTTGGTCCCTTCCTTTTATGCAAATTATTTTACAGCTACTCTTTCAAAAATATTCAGTATCTTGGCAAAGATCTTTCCAGTGGAAAAACCCTCGAAGGTAAAGGTTTGGGGTGAAAACCCCCTGGAAGGGTTTAGGTGAAGATTGGGGTGAAACCCCCTGGAAGGGTTTAGGTGAAGATTGGGTTGGGGTGGGGAAAAAAATAACCTGGAAGAGTTTAGGTGAAGATTGGGGTTGGGGTGAAAAAACCCTGGAAGGGTTTAGGTGAAGATTGGGGTTGGGGTGAAAAAACCCTGGAAGGGTTTAGGTGAAGATTGGGGTTGGGGTGAAAAAACCCTGGAAGGGTTTAGGTGAAGGTTGGGGTTGGGGTGAAAAAACCCTGGAAGGGTTTAGGTGAAGGTTGGGGTTGGGGTGAAAAAACCCTGGAAGGGTTTAGGTGAAGGTTGGGGTTGGGGTGAAAAAACCCTGGAAGGGTTTAGGTGAAGGTTGGGGTGAAAAAACCCTGGAAGGGTTTAGGTGAAGGTTGGGGTTGGGGTGAAAAAACCCTGGAAGGGTTTAGGTGAAGGTTGGGGTTGGGGTGAAAAAACCCTGGAAGGGTTTAGGTGAAGATTGGGGTTGGGGTGAAAAACCCCTGGAAGGGTTTAGGTGAAGATTGGGGTTGGGGTGAAAAACCCCTGGAAGGGTTTAGGTGAAGGTTGGGGTTGGGGTGAAACATCCCTGGAAGGGTTTAGGTGAAAATTGGGGTGGAAAACCCCTGGAAGGGTTTAGATTGGGGTGAAAAACCCCTAGAAGGGTTTAGGTGAAGGTTGGGTTGAGGTGCTCATTGGAATAAAACAACTAGTTCTTTGTATATTTATTTTCGCTATCTAATTTTTCTGAGCCTGTTTGCCTGTCTGCTAGCTTTGTTCCATAATGCTCAGCCAGCATCATTGGATCTATTGAATTCTAATGCTGCTCTTGTTCCATAATGCTCAGCCAGCCTCATTGGATCTATTGAATTCTAATGCTGCTCTTGTTCCATAATGCTCAGCCAGCCTCATTGGATCTATTGAATTCTAATGCTGCTCTTGTTCCATAATGCTCAGCCAGCCTCATTGGATCTATTGAATTCTAATGCTGCTCTTGTTCCATAATGCTCAGCCAGCATCATTGGATCTATTGAATTCTAATGCTGCTCTTGTTCCATAATGCTCAGCCAGCCTCATTGGATCTATTGAATTCTAATGCTGCTCTTGTTCCATAATGCTCAGCCAGCCTCATTGGATCTATTGAATTCTAATGCTGCTCTTGTTCCATAATGCTCAGCCAGCCTCATTGGATCTATTGAATTCTAATGCTGCTCTTGTTCCATAATGCTCAGCCAGCCTCATTGGATCTATTGAATTCTAATGCTGCTCTTGTTCCATAATGCTCAGCCAGCCTCATTGGATCTATTGAATTCTAATGCTGCTCTTGTTCCATAATGCTCAGCCAGCCTCATTGGATCTATTGAATTCTAATGCTGCTCTTGTTCCATAATGCTCAGCCAGCCTCATTGGATCTATTGAATTCTAATGCTGCTCTTGTTCCATAATGCTCAGCCAGCCTCTTGCGCTGAAGACTCGTTGTTGTGTTCCAGTCTGTCTTTACCACAGTCTGGTTGAGCAGCTTGGAGAAGTGTCTGAAAGACTCTGTCTGTCTGTCTGTCTGTCTGTCTGTCTGTCTGTCTATAGGATGGTGGAGGTGGCAGCGTGCCACACCAGCCATACGTCTGCAGCTAAGACTCAGAGCGGTCAGGTGCTAATGTGGGGTCAGTGTCGGGGTCAAGCTGTGGCCTGCCCTCATCTCACACACTTCGCCAGCACTGATGATGTCTTTGCATGCTTCGCCACGCCCGCTGTCACGTGGCACCTCCTCACCGTGGGTAAGACTGACGCACCTCCTCACCGTGGGTAAGACTGACGCACCTCCTCACCGTGGGTAAGACTGACGCACCTCCTCACCGTGGGTAAGACTGACGCACCTCCTCACCGTGGGTAAGACTGACGCACCTCCTCACCGTGGGTAAGACTGACTCACCTCCTCACCGTGGGTAAGACTGACGCACCTCCTCACCGTGGGTAAGACTGACGCACCACCTCACCGTGGGTAAGACTGACACACCACCTCACCGTGGGTAAGACTGACACACCACCTCACCGTGGGTAAGACTGACACACCACCTCACCGTGGGTAAGACTGACACACCTCCTCACCGTGGGTAAGACTGACGCACCTCCTCACCCTGGGTAAGACTGACGCACCACCTCACCGTGGGTAAGACTGACGCACCACCTCACCGTGGGTAAGACTGACACACCACCTCACCGTGGGTAAGACTGACACACCACCTCACCGTGGGTAAGACTGACACACCACCTCACCGTGGGTAAGACTGACACACCTCCTCACCGTGGGTAAGACTGACGCACCTCCTCACCGTGGGTAAGACTGACGCACCTCCTCACCGTGGGTAAGACTGACGCACCTCCTCACCGTGGGTAAGACTGACACACCACCTCACTGTGGGTAAGACTGACACACCACCTCACCGTGGGTAAGACTGACACCTCCTCACCGTGGGTAAGACTGACACACCACCTCACCGTGGGTAAGACTGACACACCACCTCACCGTGGGTAAGATTGACACACCACCTCACCGTGGGTAAGACTGACGCACCTCCTCACCGTGGGTAAGACTGACACACCTCCTCACCGTGGGTAAGACTGACACACCACCTCACCGTGGGTAAGACTGACACACCACCTCACCGTGGGTAAGACTGACACACCACCTCACCGTGGGTAAGACTGACACACCACCTCACCGTGGGTAAGACTGACGCACCTCCTCACCGTGGGTAAGACTGACACACCACCTCACCGTGGGTAAGACTGACGCACCTCCTCACCGTGGGTAAGACTGACACACCACCTCACCGTGGGTAAGACTGACGCACCACCTCACCGTGGGTAAGACTGACACACAACCTCACCGTGGGTAAGACTGACACACCACCTCACCGTGGGTAAGACTGACACACAACCTCACCGTGGGTAAGACTGACACACCACCTCACCGTGGGTAAGACTGACACACCACCTCACCGTGGGTAAGACTGACACACCACCTCACCGTGGGTAAGACTGACACACCACCTCACCGTGGGTAAGACTGACACACCACCTCACCGTGGGTAAGACTGACACCTCCTCACCGTGGGTAAGACTGACGCACCACCTCACCGTGGGTAAGACTGACACACCACCTCACCGTGGGTAAGACTGACGCACCACCTCACCGTGGGTAAGACTGACACACCACCTCACCGTGGGTAAGACTGACGCACCTCCTCACCGTGGGTAAGACTGACACACCACCTCACCGTGGGTAAGACTGACGCACCTCCTCACCGTGGGTAAGACTGACACACCACCTCACCGTGGGTAAGACTGACACACCACCTCACCGTGGGTAAGACTGACACACCACCTCACCGTGGGTAAGACTGACACACCACCTCACCGTGGGTAAGACTGACGCACCTCCTCACCGTGGGTAAGACTGACACACCACCTCACCGTGGGTAAGACTGACGCACCTCCTCACCGTGGGTAAGACTGACAGTATACAGGATGTGATGATGGGTACACACCTGGAATCAGATACTATTTGAAATATTTCCAATACGTTGAGCGTTTGCTCTGGCCTGTTTAGAGGGTTGACTGACTGATATGTGTTATTCAGATGGAGATGATTATCTGACAGTGGCCCAGTCACTGAAGAGGGAGTTTGACAGCCCGGACATCTCCGATCTCAAGTTCCTGGTGGATGGGAAGTGTATCCACGTACACAAAGCCCTCCTGAAGATCAGGTACCTAAGGCTGTGTTTACACAGGCAGGCCAATCAGATCTTTTCCACCAATTGGTATTTTGACCAATCAGATCAGCTCTTTTGACAATAGTTGGGAAAAATATCCGAATTTGGGCTGCCTGTGTAGATGGCGCCAAACAGACCCATGTTGTCTCCTATATGGGCCCTGGTCAAAGGGCCCATATCACTCTCTGAACCACCGTAATACAATGGTAATGTTCATTTAGCCAACACTTTTATCCAAACAACTGTAGACAGTGACATGTTTATTCAGTATATGTGGCCAATGCCAGCTGTGGCGCTGTATGTTTAGTATTCCTACTAAACATACTTTAAATAAAGTTTTGTTATGCGCATTCGCTTTTCCTCTGTAAATACATCATTTATCCGGGTACAACACCGTTTTAAAGGTTATTTAGCTCTTCGTACCACTGTGGCAGCCAAACCTGCCTGCACGCGAAATACAGTTTACCATCTTCGAGACAGCAGGCTAGTCACTGGAGAGACCCAGAGAGACAGCACGTTTAGTCACTGGAGAGACCCAGAGAGACAGCACGCTTAGTCACTGGAGAGACCCAGAGAGACAGCACGCTTAGTCACTGGAGAGACCCAGAGAGACAGCACGCTTAGTCACTGGAGAGACCCAGAGAGACAGCACGCTAGTCACTGGAGAGACCCAGAGAGACAGCAGGCTAGTCACTGGAGAGACCCAGAGAGACAGCAGGCTAGTCACTGGAGAGACCCAGAGAGACAGCACGCTAGTCACTGGAGAGACCCAGAGAGACAGCAGGCTAGTCACTGGAGAGACCCAGAGAGACAGCACGCTAGTCACTGGAGAGACCCAGAGAGACAGCACGCTTAGTCACTGGAGAGACCCAGAGAGACAGCACGCTAGTCACTGGAGAGACCCAGAGAGACAGCACGCTTAGTCACTGGAGAGACCCAGAGAGACAGCAGGCTAGTCACTGGAGAGACCCAGAGAGACAGCACGCTTAGTCACTGGAGAGACCCAGAGAGACAGCACGCTAGTCACTGGAGAGACCCAGAGAGACAGCAGGCTAGTCACTGGAGAGACCCAGAGAGACAGCACGCTTAGTCACTGGAGAGACCCAGAGAGACAGCACGCTAGTCACTGGAGAGACCCAGAGAGACAGCACGCTAGTCACTGGAGAGACCCAGAGAGACAGCACGCTAGTCACTGGAGAGACCCAGAGAGACAGCACGCTAGTCACTGGAGAGACCCAGAGAGACAGCAGGCTAGTCACTGGAGAGACCCAGAGAGACAGCACGCTAGTCACTGGAGAGACCCAGAGAGACAGCACGCTTAGTCACTGGAGAGACCCAGAGAGACAGCACGCTTAGTCACTGGAGAGACCCAGAGAGACAGCACGCTTAGTCACTGAAGAGACCCAGAGAGACAGCAGGCTAGTCACTGGAGAGACCCAGAGAGACAGCACGCTTAGTCACTGGAGAGACCCAGAGAGACAGCATGCTTAGTCACTGGAGAGACCCAGAGAGACAGCACGCTAGTCACTGGAGAGACCCAGAGAGACAGCTGCCAGTCACAGGTAGGGAATACATATTAGGAACTTCATCATTCCTCCTCCTCAGACCTCACCCCTCCCCTAGCCAAGTCTCTCACCCCTCCCTCCCCCCCCTAGTCAAGTCTCTCACCCCTCCCCTAGTCAAGTCTCTCACCCCTCCCCTAGTCAAGTCTCTCACCCCTGCACTAGTCAAGTCTCTCACCCCCTCCCCTAGTCAAGTCTCTCAACCCTCCCCTAGTCAAGTCTCTCACCCCTGCACTAGTCAAGTCTCTCACCCCTCCCCTAGTCAAGTCTCTCACCCCTGCACTAGTCAAGTCTCTCACCCCTCCCCTAGTCGTGTCTCACCCCTCCCCTAGTCAAGCCTCTCACCCCTGCACTAGTCAAGTCTCTCACCCCTCCCCTAGTCAAGTCTCTCACCCCTGCACTAGTCAAGTCTCTCACCCCTGCACTAGTCAAGTCTCTCACCCCTCCCCTAGTCGTGTCTCACCCCTCCCCTAGTCAAGTCTCTCACCCCTGCACTAGTCAAGTCTCTCACCCCTCCCCTAGTCAAGTCTCTCACCCCTGCCTAGTCAAGTCTCTCACCCCTCCCCTAGTCAGTCTCTCAACCCTCCCCTAGAAATTTCCTCCCCCCCTCACTAGCCCAAGTTCTTTTCAACCCTCCCCCAAGCCCCAAGCCTCTCCCCCCTCACTAGTAAAGGGCCCTCTCACCCCTGCACTGGGTCTTCCCCCTCCCCTGCCCAAGCCCTCTAAAACCCTCCCCTAGTCAAGTCCCCTCCCCCCTGCACTATCAAGTCTTTTCCAACCCCCCCCAAAATTTCGTGCCCTCACCCCCCCCCCCTATAAAGGTCCCCCTCACCCCTGCCTAGTCAATCCCCTCCCCCCCTGCACTAGTCAAGTCTCCCCCCTCCCCCTAGTCAAGTCTCCCCCCTTCCCCTAGTAAAGCCCTCACCCCTCCTAGTCAAGTCTCCCCCCTCCCCTATTAAAGCCCTTTTAAAAACCCCCCCCCTAGTCAAGTCTCTCCCCCCCCTGCCCTAGTCCAATCTCTAAACCCCCCCCAGCCCGTGTCTCCCCCCTCCCCTATCAAGCTCTCCCCCCCCCCTACCCAAGTCTCCCCACCCTCACTAGTAAATTTCTAAACACCCCCCCCCTAGTAAAAACCTCTAAAACCCCTCCCCTAGTCAAGCCTCTCCCCCCCTCCCCTAGTTGGGGGTTTTCCCCTCACCCCCCCCCTAGCCAAGTTCTCCCCCCCCTGCACTAGTCGGGGTCCCCCTCACCCCTGCACTAGTAAGTCTTCACCCCTGCACTAGTCAAGTCTCTCACCCCTGCACTATCATTCCCCCCACCCCCCCCCTATCAAGTCTCTCACCCCTGCACTAGTCAAGCCCTCTAAAAACCCTCCCCTAGTCAAATCTCCAAAAACCCTGCACTATAAAGTCTCTCACCCCTGCACTAGTAAATTCTAAAAACCCCTCCCCTAGTCAAGTCCTAAACCCCTGCACAGTCAATTCTCTCACCCCTGCCTAGTCAAGTCTCTAAACCCCCCCCCTATAAAAGTCCCCAACCCTCCCCTAGCCCAACCCTCTCCCCCGGCACTATTCAACCCTCACCCCCCCCCTAGTCAATTCTCTCCCCCCTTTCACTGCCCGGGCCTCTCCCCCCGGGAAACTGGGGCCCAAGTCTCTCACCCCCCTCCCCTAGAAAAATCTCTCCCCCCCCCCCAAAGTCAAGTCCTCACCCCCTGAAATAGTCAAGTCTCTCACCCCCCCCCCTATCAACTCTCACCCCTGCACAAGGCCAAGTCCCCTTAAAAAAACCCCCCCTGGGGTAAAGGGCTCTCCCCCCCCCTCCCCTGGGGTAAAGGTCCTAAAAACCCTGCACTGGGCAGTCTCTCCCCCCTGCACTAGTAAAATCCTAAAACCCCTGCCTATTCAAAAGTCTCATCCCCCCCCCTAGTAAAGTCTCTCCCCCCTTAAATAGTCAAGTCTCAACCCTCCCCTGCCCAGTCTAAACCCCTCCCCTAGTCAAGCCCCACCCCTCCCTAGTAAAGGGGTCTCTCCCCCCGCACTATCCAGTCCCCCCCCCTGCCTGTAAAGTCTCTCAAACCCTGCACTAGTCAAGTCCCCACCCCCCCCCCGGGGCCAAGTCTAAACCCCCCCCCCCTGGGAAAAGTCTCCCCCCTCCCTATAAAGCCCTCTCCCCCTGCACTGTAAAAGCCCCCTCACCCCCCCCCCTATCAACCCCTTTTAAAACCCTGCCCGTAAAGGGCCCCTCTCCCCCTCCCCCTAGCCCAAGTCTCTCACCCCTGCACAATAAAAGTCTCCCCCCCCCTTGCCCTGGGTCAAGCCCTCCCCCCCCTGCACGGGCAAGTCCCCTTCACCCCGCACTAGCCCAAGTCCCCTCCCCCCTGCACTAGTCAATTTTCCACCCCCCGGCACTACCCAAGTCTCCCCCCACCCCCCCCTACCCAATTCTCAAACCCTCCCCTAAAAAAGTCCCCCACCCCCCCCCCTAGTCAAGTCTCACCCCCCCCCTAGTAAAAGTCTCTCCCCCCCTGAAACTATTAAAGTCTCACCCTGCACTATAAATTTCTCTCAACCCTGCACAAAGTAAAGGGTCTTTTCCCCCCCCTGCACTATTTCAATCTTTTCCCCCCCTCCCCTGGGTCAAGTCCCCTCCCCCCCTCACTATAAAGGGCCTCTCACCCCCCCCAAAGTAAAGGCTCTCACCCCCCCCCCAGTCAAGTCTCCCCCCCTGCACTGGGTAAAGTCCTAAAAACCCTGCACTTTAAAGGGCCTCCACCCCCCCCCCCTAGTAAAGCCTCTCACCCCCCCCCCCTATTCAAGTCTCTAAAACCCCCCCCTAGTAAAGGTCTCTCACCCCTGCACTGTCAATTCTCTCCCCCCCCTGAAACTGTAAATTTCCTCTCACCCCCCCGGGCAAGCCAAGCCCTCTCACCCCTGCCTAGCCCAAGTCCCCCCCCTCCCCTAGCCCAATTTCTCACCCCCCCCCCCTAGTAAAGCCCCTCTCACCCCCCCCCTAGTCAATCTCATAAAATTCACCCCTCCCCTAGTAAAGTCTCCCCCCTCCCCTAGTCAAGCCCTCACCCCCCCTCCCTAGTCAAGTCTCCCCCCTCCCCAAAATTCAAGTCCTCTCCCCCCTCCCCTAGTCAAGTCCACCCCCCCCCCCTAGCCCCAATTTTCACCCCTCCCCTAGTAAATTTCCCCCTCCCCCGCCCTTTAAAATTTCCTCACCCCTCCCCTAGTCAAGCCCCTCCCCCCCTGCACTAGCCCAAAAGCCTCTCACCCCTCCCCTAGTCAATTCTCTCCCCCCTCCCCTATAAAGGGTCTCCCCAACCCCTGCCCTATTTCAAGTCTCCCCAACCCGGGAAACTAGTAAACCCTCACCCCTCCCCTGGGTAAACCCCTTTTAAACCCCTCCCCTAGTCAAGTTTTCTCCCCCCCCTCCCCTATCAAGCCCCCTCCCCCCTTTGCCTACCCAGCCCCTCTCCCCCCTGAAACTATAAATCCCTCCCCCTGCACTAGTAAAGGGCTCACCCCTCCCCTAGTAAAGTCTCACCCCTCCCAGTAAAGTCTCACCCCCCCCTAGTAAAGGGTCTCTCACCCCCCCCTAGCCCAATTTCTCCCCCCCTCCCCAGTCGCCCTCCCCCCTCCCCTGGGTAAAAGTCTCACCCCCTCCCCTGTCAAGTCTCACCCCCCCCCTAGCCCAAGTCCACCCCCCCCCTATCAAGTCTCTAAACCCCTGCCCCTAGTCAAGTCTCTTCCAAACCCCTCCCCTAGCCCAATTCCTAAACCCGGGAAACAAATAAAAGTCTCTCACCCCCCCCCTAGTCGTCTCACCCCCCCCCTAGTCAAGTCTCTCACCCCGGGGGAAACATCAACTTTTCCCCCCCGGGCCAGCCCAATCTCCCCCCCCTCCCCTACCCGGGCTAACCCCCCTGGGTAAAGCCCTCTTCCCCCCTGCCCCTATCAAGTCTCACCCCTCCCCTAGTCAAGTCTCTCACCCCTGCACTAGTCAAGCCTCTCACCCCTGCACTAGTAAAGTCCCCTCCCCCCTCCCCACTAGTCAACCCTCACCCCCCCCCTAGCCCAAAGTCCCCCTCCCCCCCTGCACAAAAGCCCAAGTCTCTCAACCCCCCCTAGTAAGTCTCTCACCCCCCTGCACTAGTAAAAGGTCTTAAAAAACCCTCCCTAGTAAAGGGCTCTCACCCCTGCCCTAGCAAGTCCCCTTCCCCCCTGCACTAGTAAAGGGTCTCTCACCCCTGCACTAGTAAACCCGAATCTTCCCCCCTCCCCATCAAGTCCTCCCCCTCCCCTATAAAGGCTTCACCCCCCCCCCCCTTAGCCCAACTCCCCCCTCCCCAAAACCCCCAATCTCCTCACCCCCCCCCCTAGTCAAGTCCACCCCCCCCCCTACAACTCCCCCCTCCCAGCAAGTCTCACCCCCCTCCCCTAGCCCGTCTCTCACCCCCCCCTTAAAAAATTTCTCCCCCTCCCCTAGTCAAGCCCTAAACCCCCCCCCAATAAAGGCCCTCACCCTGCACTAGTCAAGTCTCTCCCCCCTCCCCTATTTAAAGTCTCTCACCCCTCCCAACCCGGGCCTCTCCCCCCCCCCCTAGTAAAGGGTCCCTTCCCCCCTCCCCTAGAAAAAGGTCCCCCACCCCGGAAAACAAGCAAGTCTCTCAACCCGGGCACATCAAGCCTCTCACCCCCCTCCCCTAAAAAAACCTCTCCCCCCTTTCCCCTGCCCCAAGTCCCCTCACCCCCCCCTATAAAGTCCCCTCACCCCCCGGAAACTAGTAAAGGCCCTAAACCCCCCCCAAAGTAAAGTCCCCCCCCCTCCCCTAGTCAGTCCCCCACCCCCCCTGGGTCAAGCCCTCACCCCCCCCCAGTAAAGCCCCTCACCCCCCCCCTACCCAAGTCCTCCCCCCCCTCCTATTCAATCTCCCCCCCTCCCCTAGAAAGTCTCTCACCCCCTGCACTAGTAAAACCTCTCAACCCCCCCCCCGGGGGGCTGGGGGGGGGGAAGGGGGTTTCACCCCCCCCTAGTCAAGTCCCTCTCCCCCTTCCCTCCTTCCCCAAGTTTTCTAAAACCCTGCCTACCCAAGCCCTCACCCCTCCCCTAGTCAAGCCTCTCCCCCCCACCCCCCCCCTAGTAAAATTCTCTCACCCCCCCCCTAGTAAACCCTCTCCCCCTGCCCTAGTAAATTCTAAACCCTCACCCCTCCCCTAGTAAAAGCCCTCACCCCCCCCCTTTAGTCAGTCTCCCCCTCCCCAAACCCAAGTCCCTCACCCCCCCTCCCCTTATCAAGCCCTCCCCCCCTCCCCTATTCTTTTTCCTCTCCCCCCCCTCCCTAGCCCCAAGTCTAAAACCCCTCCCCTAGTCAAGTCTAAACCCCTTTCCCTATAAAAAGCTCCCCCCCCCTAGTAAAAGCCCTCACCCCTCCCCTAGTAAAGGGTCTCTCACCCCTGCCCCAAAGCCCGGGTCTCTAAACCCCCCCTACCCAAGTCCTCCCCAACCCGGGCACTAGTCAAGCCCCTTCTCAACCCTGCCCTATCAAGTCCTCACCCCCTGCACTATAAAAACCCTCTCACCCCCTGCACTAGTCAAGCCTCTCACCCCCCTCCCCTAGAAAGCCCTCTCAAACCCCCCCCTAGTCGTGCCCTTAAACCCCCCTCACTAGTCAAACCCCCTCCCCCCGAAACTAGTCGGGCCCTCCCCAACCCTGCACTAGTCAAGCCTCTCACCCCCTCCCCTACCCAAAGTCCCTCTCAACCCGCATTTTTTTCAAGCCTTTTTCCCCCCCTCCCTAGTAAAATTTCCCCCCCCACCCCCCCCCTAGTAAAGGGTCTCTCAACCCTCCCCCTTAAAGTCCTAAAACCCTCCCCTAGCCCGGGGTTTCTCACCCCTCCCCTGTCAATCCTCTCCCCCCTTTCACTGTAAAAACCCTTTCTCACCCCCTCCTAGCCCAAGTCTCTAACCCCTCCCCTAGTAAAGTCTCACCCCCCCCCCTATCAATTCTATAAACCCCCCCTAGTCGTGTCTCCCCCTCCCCTAGTAAAAGCCTCTCACCCCCTCCCCTGGGGTCAAGCTTTTCCAAAACCCTGCACTTTTCCAATTCCCCTCACCCCCTCCCCTAGCCCCAAGTTCCCCAAACCCCTCCCCATTAAATCTCTCACCCCTGAAACTAGAAACTTTCTCTCACCCCGGGCACTAGTAAAAGTCCACCCCCCTCCCCTAGTCAAGTTCCCCCAAACCCCCTGCACTAGTAAAGTCTCCCCACCCCTCCCCTGTCTTGTCCCCCCCCTCCCCTTTTCAATTTCTCTCCCCCCTGCACTAGTCAAGTCTCACCCCCTCCCCTAGCCCCAAGTCTAAACCCCCCCCTAAAAGTCCTCACCCCCCCCCCCTAGTCTTGCCCCTCCCCCTCCCCTAGTAAAGGGTCTCACCCCCCCCCTAGTCAAGTCTCACCCCTCCCCTAGCCCCAAGTCTCTAACCCGGGGCACTAGTAAAGGTTCTCACCCCTCCCCTAGTAAAAGTCTCTAAAAACCCTGCACTATAAAGGGCCCTTTTCTCCCCCCTGCAAAAATAAAAGGCTCTCCCCCTCCCCTAAGTCAAGTCCTCACCCCTCCCCTAGTCAACCCTCACCCCCCCCTCCCCCTTCGCCCTTCCCCCCCCTCCCCTAGTAAATTTCTCTCACCCCCCCTTCACAAAGCCCAATTCTTAAACCCCTTTAAACTAGCCCCAAACCTTTTCACCCCCCCCCTAGTCAAGCCTCCCCCACCCCTCCCCTATTAAAGGGTCTCTCACCCCTCCCCTATTTCAAGTCTCCCCCCCCCTGCACTTTCAGTTTTCCACCCACCCCTGCACAGTAAAGGGTCTTCACCCCGGGGCACTAGTCAAGTCTCTCACCCCTGCACTAGTCAAGTCTCACCCCCCCCTATTTCCCCAAAGTCCTCCCCCCCCTCCCCTATTCAAGTCCCCTCACCCCCCCCCAGTAAAGTCTCACCCCCCCTATCAAGTCTCTCACCCCCCCCCCTGTAAAGTCTCACCCCCCTCCCCTAGCAAGTCTCCCCCTCCCTATCAAGTCTCACCCCCCCCTAGTCAACCCTCTCCCCCTCCCCTAGCCCCAAGTCTCCCCCTCCCCTAGTAAGTCTCACCCCTCCCCTAGTCACCCTCTCACCCCTGCCAAAAGCCCAAGCCCTCTCCCCCCTCCCCCAAAGTCAAGTCTCCCCCAACCCCTGCCTAGTCAAAGGCCTCCCACCCCTCCCCTAGTAAGTCCTCACCCCCTTCCCCATCAAGTCCTCACCCCTGCACTAGTAAAGTCTCTAAACCCGGGCAGTATTAAAGCCTCTAAACCCCTCCCCTATTCAAGCCCCCTCACCCCCCTCCCCTGGGCCCGGGCCCTTCCCCCTCACCCCTCCCAATTCAAGCCCTCTCACCCCTGCACTAGCCCAACCCTCTCCCCCTCACTTCAAGTCTCTCCCCCTCCCAACTAGTAAAAAGTCTAAACCCCCCCCTGGTCAAGTCTCCCCCAACCCCTCCCCTATCAATCTCCACACCCCCCCCTATAAAGTCTCCACCCCCCCCCCTTTATTCAAAGCCCCCCCCCCTCCCCGGGGGCCGTTTTTCTCCCCCCCTCCCCTAGCCCAAATTTTTTCACCCCCCCCCCTAGTCAAGTCCCTCAAACCCCCCCCCTGGGTAAAATCTCACCCCCCCCAAAAGCCCAAGGGGTCTCACCCCCCCCCTTAGCAAAGTCCCCCTTCCATTTTCCTAAAACCCTCCCCTGCACTCTCAGTTCCCTCTCAAAACCCTCCCCTAGTCAAGTCTCTAAAAACCCCCCACCGCCCCAACCCTCCCCCCCCGGCACTAGTCAAGGGGCCCCTCCCCCAAACCCCAAAACCCCCCTCCCCTTAAGTCAATTCTCCTCCCCACCCCCTGCACTAGCCCAAGTCCCCTCACCCCTGAAAACTAGTCGGGCCCCTCCTCACCCCTCCCCCCTTCCCCCAAAGCAATCAAAAACCCTCCCCTGGGTAAAAGTCCCCTCACACCCCGGGCATAGTCAAGTCTCACCCCCCCCCCTAAGGCCCAAAATCCCCCTCACCCCTGCACAGTAAAAAAACCTCTCCCCCCCCGGGGACCAAAAATTAAAATTCTCCCCCCTGAAAGTAAAAAGTCCTCACCCCTCCCCTTAAAGCCCAAAGGGGCCCCCTCACCCCCCCCCCATAAGCCCCGGAAGTCCTCCCCACCCCCCCCCTTTATAAAAGTCCCCTCAACCCTCCCCCCTTAAGTAAAAGCCCTCTCACCCCTCCCCCTTAGTCAAGTCCCCTCCCCCCCTGCACTAGTCAAGTCCCCTCCCCTTTCCCTTAGTCAAAGTTTTTCCCCCTCCTTCTCTCCCCTCTCCTCACTCCCCCCCTCCTTTCTCTCTCACCCCCCCCTAGCAAGTCTCCCCAACCCCTGAAACTAGTAAAGTCCTCTAAACCCCTCCCCGAAGCCCCAAGTCTCTAAAACCCCTTTGGCCTAGTAAAAGTCTCTCACCCCTGCATTTAAAAAAAGTCTCTCACCCCTCCCCTAGTAAATTTCCTCTCACCCCCCCCTATCAATCTCCCCCCCCTGCCTATTCTTTTTCTCTCACCCCCTCACTAGCCCCAAGCCCCCTCACCCCCCCCCTAGTCAACCCCTTTTCCCCCCCTCCCCAAAGGTCAAGCCCTCTCACCCCCCCCCCCTATAAAGGGCCTAAAACCCCCCCTGAAACTAGCCCAAAATCTTCACCCCTGCCCCAGTAAATCTCACCCCTCCCCCCCTAGTAAAGCCCTCCCCCCTCCCCTATTCAAGTCTCCCCACCCCTCCCCAGTAAAGTCTCACCCCCCCCCTATAAAATTCCTCTCACCCCTTTCCCCCCGCCCCCCTGTCAGTCTCACCCCTCCCCTGGGTCCAATTCTCACCCCCCCTAGTCCAAGCCCTCCCCCCCTCCCCTATCAAGTCTCTCACCCCCCCCCCCCTGCCCAAATTCTCACCCCCCCCCCCCCTAGTCAAGTTCTCACCCCTCCCCTAGTAAAGGGTCCCCTCACCCCTTCACTGGGGCCCAAGGTCTCCCCCCCTTTCCCCCTAGTCAAGTCTCCCCCCCCCCTGCCTAGTAAAGGGCCCCCCTCCCCCCTCCCCTAGTCAAGTCTTCTACCCCTTCCCCAGCCCAAGTCTCTCACCCCCTGTAAATCTTCAATTTTCCCCAACCCCCTGCCAGTAAAGCCTCTCCCCCCCCCCCTTTCCCCTTAAACCCCTCTAAACCCCCTCCCCTGAAGTCTTTTCCCCTCACCCCCCTTCCCCTACCCAAGTCTCCACCCCCCCCGAGTCAAGTTTTCTAAACCCCTGCACTTTTCCCAACCCCCCTCCACCCCTGCACTAGTCAATTCCCCACCCCCCCCTCCCCTATTTCCATTCTCACCCCCCCATCCCCCAAACCCTCCCCTCCCCTACCAATCTCACCCCCCCCCTACCCAAGTCCCCACCCACCCCCCCCTTTAAGCCCAAGTCCCCCCCATCAACCCCCCCTCCCCTAGAAAAAGGTCCCCCACCCCTCCCCTAGCCCAAGTCTAAAATCCACCTCACCCCTCCCTAGTCAAATTCTCACCCCTCCCTAGCAAGTCTCATTACCCCCTCCCCTAGCCCAAGTCTCTCACCCCTGCACTAGCCCAGTCTCTCAAACCCCCCCCCTGGGAAAGTCCCCCAAACCCCCTGCACTATTAAAGGGGTCCCAACCCCTGCACTAGAAAGTCTCACCCCCTCCCCTAGTCAAGCCCTCCCACCCCTGCCCCTAGTAAAGGTTTTCTCCCCCTTTCCCCCTATCAAGTCTCTCCCCCCCCCTCCCCCTCCCCTTTAAAAACCCAACCCTCCCCTGTAAAGGTCTCTCACCCCTGCACATTCAAAGTCCCCACCCCCTCCCCTACCCAAGTCTCTCCCCCCCCTTTCCCTAGCAACCCCTCTCCCCCCTTTTGCACTAGTAAAAGCCCTCCACCCCCCTGCACTAGCCCAAGTCTCCCCCCTCCCCAGTCAAGCCCCTCTCACCCCTGCACTGGGTCAAGTCTCTCAAAAACCCCCCCCCTGGGTTCCAAGTCCTAAAACCCCCTCCCTTTCCCAATTTCTCTAAAACCCTCCCCTATCAAGTCTCTCCCCCCTGCCCCTTAAAGTCTCCCCAAAAACCCTGCACTAGCCCAAGTCTCACCCCTTTCACTAGGTAAAGGTCCCCTCACCCCGGGCACTAGCCCAAGTCTCTCACCCCTCCCCTAGTCTCTCTCACCCCCTGCACTAGTCAAGTCTCTAAACCCCCCCCTAGAAAAAGTCTCCCCCCCCCTTTAAACTAAGTCAATTTCTCTCCCCCTGCCAGTCAAGTCTCACTAAACCCCTCCCTAGCCCGTCTCCCCACCCCTGCACTAGCCCAAGTCTCTCCCCCCCCCTAGCCCAATCCACCCCTCCCCCAAAGCCCAATTCCCCTTCCCCCCTTTCCCCTACCCAAGTCTCTCACCCCCCCTGCACCAGTAAAGTCTCACCCTGCACTAGCCCAAGTCTCCCCCCCCCTGCACTAGTAAATCTCACCCCCCCCCTGGGCCCCCCCCCTCCCCCCTCCCCAAATAAAGCCCTCTTCCCCCCCCTTCCCTAGTCAATTTCTCTAAACCCCGGGAAACTATCAAGCCCTCCCCCCCCTCCCCTAGTAAAGCCCTCCCCCCCCTGCCTACAAGCCTCTCACCCCTCCCTAGTAAAGCCCTCTCCCCCCCTGCACTGGGCCAAGCCCCTCTAAACCCCTGCACAAATTCAAGTCCCTCCCCCCCCCTGCCTAGCCCAAGTCTTTTAAACCCCCCCTGAAACTAGTAAAGGGTCTCTCAACCCCCTGCACTAGCCCATCTCCCCCCCCCCCCTGCACTAGTAAAGTCTTTCCCCCCTCCCCGGGAAAAGGTTCCTCACCCCCTCCCTAGTCAAGTCTCCCCCCACCCCTTTCCCCCCAACCCCAAGCCCCCTAAACCCCTGCACTATTAAAGTCTTTTCCACCCCCCGGGCCTAGTCAAGTCCACCCCCCTCCCTATTCAAGTCCCCCACCCCCCCCCCTAGTCAAGTCTCTCCACCCCTTTGCCTGTAAAATCTCACCCCTGCCCCCATATTCAAGTCTCTAAAAACCCCCCTGCACTTAAAGCTCTAAACCCCTGACTAGTCAATCCTCACCCCCCCCCCCTAGTCCGGGTCCCCTCACCCCCTGCACTAGTAAAAAGGCCTCCCCACCCCTCCCAGTAAAGTCCTCCCACCCCCCCCCTGTCAAGTCTTTTCCCCCCCTGCACTAGTCAATTCTCTAAACCCCTTTCACTATCAAGCCTCTACCCCCTCCCCTAGCCCCAAAGCCTCTCCCACCCCTCCCCTAGTAAAGGGTCTCTCACCCCCCCCCTATCAATCTCTCCCCCCCTTCCCCCTAAGGCCCAAGTCTCTCACCCTTTTTGCACTAGCCCAATTTCTCTCCCCCCTTCCTCATTTTAAAAAAGTCTCCCCCCTCCTTTTAAAACCCCCCCTGCACAAAGCCCAAGTCTCACCCCCCCCCCCTATTCAAGTCTCCCCCACCCCCCCCCTAGTAAATCTCTCACCCCTCCCTAGTAAAAGTTTTAAACCCCCCCCAAAAGTAAAGTCTCTCACCCCCCCCCTAGTAAAAGTTTTAAAACCCTCCCCTATTCAATTCTCCCCCCTCCCGGGTCCCCTCCCCCTCCCTATTCAAGTCCCCCAACCCCCCTCCCCTAGTAAAGTCTCTCACCCCTCCCCTATTCCCCAATCTCACCCCCCCCTAGTCAAGTCTCACCCCCCCCCCTAGTCAATCTCTCCCCCTCCCACAGTAAAGGGTTCTCCCCCCCTCCCCTGCCCAAGTCTCTCACCCCTGCCCTAGCCCAAGCCTCTCCCCCCTCCCCGGGAAAGGGCCTTTTCCCCCCCTCCCCCTAGCCCGGCTCTCACCCCCCTAGTAAACCCCTCTAAAACCCTGCCTGCCGCCCCCTCACCCCTCCCCTAAGGTAAAAAGCCTCCCCCCCCCTTCCCCTATTAAAAGCCTCTCCCCCCTCCCCTAGTAAATTTCTCTCACCCCCCCCCTTAAGTCAAGTCTCCACCCCTGAAACTAGTCAAGTCTCCCCACCCCCCCCCTAGTAAAGTCTCACCCCCCCCCCTATTCAAGTCCCCACACCCCTCCCCTAGCCAAGTCCCCCCCCCTCCCCTATTTCAAGTCTCTCACCCTCCCCCCTCTCACCCCCCCCTAGTAAAGTCCCAACCCCTCCCCTAGTCAAGCCCTCTAAACCCCCCCTCCCCTATCAAGTCTCCCCCCCCCCCCTAGTCAAGTCTCACACCCCCCCCCTAGCCAAGCCCCCCCCGTCCTAAACCCCTCCCCTATTCAAGCCCTCTAAACCCCTGCCTATTAAATCTCTAAAAACCCTCCCCTAGTCAAGCCCTTTTCCCCAACCCCTGCACTAGTCAAGTCCTAAACCCCGGGCACTAGTAAAGTTCCTCCCCCTGCACTAGTCAAAGCCTCTAAAACCCCCCCTTTTCACAGAAAAAGCCTCCACCCCTCCCCTGGGAAAGTTCCCCCTTAAACCCCTCCCCTAGCCCCGTGTCCCAACCCCTGCATATCCAAGTCTCTCAACCCTCACTAGTAAAGGTCTCCCCCCCGGGCCTAGTCGGGCCCCCTCACCCCTCCCCAAAAGCAAGTTCTAAAAACCCTGCACTAGTAAAAAGCCCTCCACCCCTGCACTTCAAGTCCCCCACCCCCCTTCCCCCTAGCCCCAAGTCTCCCCCCCCCTTTCCCCCAAAGCCCAAGTCTCCCCAACCCTCCCCTAGTCGTGTCCCTCCCCCCCCCCCCTACCCCAATCCTCCCCCACCCCCCTTTCACTAGCCCAAAACCCCCTCTAAACCCCCTGCCCAAAAGTAAAGTCTCTCCCCCCCCCTCCCAAATCAATCTCACCCCCTCCCCTAGTAAAGTCTCTCACCCCCCCCCTAGTCTTTCCCCCACCCCTCCCCTATTAAAGTCTCCCCCACCCCCCCCCCCTATAAGTCCCCCTAAAACCCCGGGCACTACCCAAGTCTCACCCCCTCCCCTATCAAGTCTCACCCCTCCCCTAGTCAGTCCTCACCCCTGCACTAGTCAATCCCCTCACCCCCTGAAACTAGTAAAGTCCCCCCCCACCCCTCCCCTAGTCAAGTCCCCCAACCCCCTTTGCACTAGCCCAAGTCTCCCCACCCCCCCCCCTTTTTTATTTCCCCCCCCCTGGCTCCCCTCACCCCTCCCCTGCCCCCAAGTCTCACCCCGCACCCCAAAAAGCCCCAATTCCCCACCCCTCCCCTATTTCAAGTCTCCCCCCTCCCCTAGCCCCAAAAGTCTCACCCCTCCCCCCCCCCCAGTCTTTTAAAACCCTGCACTAGTAAAGTCTCTCACCCCTGAAACAAAGTAAAGCCCTCTCACCCCCTGCACTAGTAAACCCCCTCTCCCCCCTGCATAGTCTTTCCCTCACTCACCCCCCCCCCCCTAGTCAAGTCCCCAACCCCATCCCCTATCAAGGCTCAAGTCTCACCCCCCCCATAAACCCACCCCCCTCCCCTACCAATTTCCCCACCCCCCCCCCTAGCCAAGTCTCTTCCCCCCACCCCCCCCCCCCTATAAATTTCCTAAACCCCTTTCCCCATAAAAGTCTTCAACCCCCCCCCCTGCCCAAGTCTCACCCCCCCCCTAGTAAAGTCTCACCCCCTTCCCCTAGTAAAGTCTAAACCCCTCCCCTAGTCAAGTCTCACCCCTCCCCTAGTCAAGTCTCACCCCTCCCCTAGTCAAGTCTCACCCCTCCCCTAGTCAAGTCTCACCCCTCCCCTAGTCAAGTGTCTCACCCCTCCCCTAGTCGTGTCTCAACCCTGCACTAGTCAAGTCTCTCAATCCTGCAATAGTCAAGTATCTCACCCCTGCACTAGTCAAGTCTCAACCAGTGGCGTAGCGCAGTTTGGCAAGGGCCCCCTGCAAGGTAAAACAGGTCACTTCTTGCAGTTATACACATTTAGTCACGGGGCAGAGAGAGTTTTTCATTCCATTCTTCCCCCACACAGTTACAAACCTTTCTAAGGAAACAATGTGTTGATATAACGTAGTGATTTCCAGTAGTTGCCTTCCTTGGCTCCTCCCAAGTCTGGTATGTTTTTTCCACTGCGGTGTATGGAACTATGTATCAGTCTCTGTCCTTCCTGTTGACGTCATGAGGAAGCAAGGACACAGCTATCGTTTCCCCTCTGGGTATTTTTATAACTCACATGCAACATTCTCAAGCGTTAAGCGTGATTGTTTCGATTGTCAAATCAGAGGTAAAGAAAATCTTTATTTTACATCTGGAAATGCATTGTTCATACACTGAGTATACAAAACATTAAGAACACCTGCTGTTTCCATGGCATAGATTGACCAGGTGAATCCAGGTGAAAGCTATGATCCCTTATTGATGTCACTCAGTGTAGATGACGGGGAGGAGTCAGGTTAAAGAATAATTTTTAAGCCTTGAGACAATTGCGACATGCATTGTGTATGTGTGCCTTTCAGAGGGTGAATGGGCAAGACAAAAGATTGAAGTGCCTTTGAACGGGATTTGGTAGTTTGTGCCAGGCACACCGGTTTGTGTCAAGAACTGCAACGCTGCTGGGTTTTTCACACTCAACAGTTTCCCGTGTGTATCAAGAACAGTCCACCACCCAAAGGACATCCAGCCAACTTGACACAACCGTGGGAAGCATTGGAGTCAACAAGGGTCAGCATCCCAGTGGAATGCTTTCGACACCTTTTAGAGTCCATGCCACGACGAATTGAGTTTGTTCTGAGGGCAAAAGGGTTCAACTCAATATCAGGAAGGTGTTCCTAATGTTTGGTGTACTCAGTGTAGAAATGTTTAGAAACTAGCAAAACTATATATAAGAAAGTATGTGGACACCCCTTCAAATGACTGGATTCAGCTATTTCAGCCACACCAGTTGCTGACAGGTGTATAAAATCGAGCACACCGCCATGCAATCTCCATAGACAAACATTGGCAGTAGAATGGCCTTACTGAAGAGCTCTGTGACTTTCAACGTGGCACCGTCATAGGATGCCACCTTTCCAACAAGTCAGTTCGTCAAATTTATGCCCTGCTTGAGCTGCCCCCAGTCAACTGTAAGTGCTTTTATTGTGAAGTGGAAACGTCTAGGAGCAACAACGGCTCAGCCGCGAAGTGGTAGGCCACACAAGCTCACAGAACAAGGGCCGCCTAGTGCTGAAGCGCGTACATTTTTTTGTCTGTCCTCGGTTGCAACACTCACTACCAAGTTCCAAACTGCCTCTGGAAGCAATGTCAGCACAATAATTGTTTGTCGGGAGCTTCATGAAATGGGTTTCCATGGCCGAGCAGCTGCACACAAGCCTAAGATCACCAGCGCAATGCCAAGCGTCGGCTGGAGTGGTGTAAAGCTCGCCGCCATTGGACTCTGGGACAGTGGAAACGCGTTCTCTGGAGTGATGAATCACGCTTCGCCATCTGGCAGTCCGATGGACGAATCTGGGTTTGGCGGATGCCAGGAGAACGCTACCTGCCCCAATGCATAGTGCCAACTGTAAAGTTTGGTGGAGGAGGAATAATGGTCTGGGGCTGTTTTTCATGGTTTGGGGCTAGTCCCCTTAGTTCCAGTGAAGGGAAATCTTAACGCTACAGCATACAATGACATTCTAGACAATTATGTGCGTCCTGCTTTGTGGCAACAGTTTGGGGAAGGCCCTTTCCTGTTTCAGCATGACAATACCCCCGTACACAAAGCGAGGTCCATACAGAAATGGTTTGTTGAGATCGGTGTGGAAGAACTTGACTGGCCTGCACAGAGCCCTGACCTCAACCCCATCAAACACCTTTGAGATGAATTGGAACGCCGACTGCGAGCCAGGCCTAATCGCCCAACATCATTGCCCGACCTCACTAATGCTTTTGTGGCTGAATGGAAGCAAGTCCACACGGCAATGTTCCAACATCTAGTGGAAAGCCTTCCCAGAAGAGTGGAGGCTGTTATAGCAGCAAAGGGGAGGACCCAACTCCATATTAATACCCGTGATTTTGGAATGAGCTGTTCGACGAGCAGGCGTCCACATACTTTTGGTCATGTAGTGTATCTAATTAGCCTGCTAGCTAGCTAAGCTCATAGATCTACATGGGGCTGAATCCTAACTTCACATCAGCACACATTGTTTTTGCACAAATGTTCCATTGACATCAGGTTTCACGTGTATTTTAGCATGTGTCATGAATACATTGGAAGTGTTACTCCGTGATGACTGGATCTGCTCCGTGATGACTGATCTGCTCCGTGATGACTGATCTGCTCCGTGATGACTGGATCTGTTGTCATCCTCCCATTTGGTTTCTTTCAGGTGTGAACATTTCCGTGTGCTGCTGAACGAGACAGACGAGGAGTCTATGGAGATCCACCAGTTTTCTTACCTGGTCTACAGGGCTTTTCTGGAGTACCTGTATACAGATACCATCAACCTTCCTCCAGAGGACGCCATAGGTATGACCATCTTATAACCCCCCCGCACAGCCCTTACCCTTTCACAGACACCATCAACCTTCCACCTGAGGACGCCAGAGGTACGACACCTAACCCTAACTCCTAACTCTAGCGTACCTTTACCTCAGAGGTGCGACGCAGTGTTTCCCCTAGATTGTTCTCCAGTGCGGGGTACAAAGAGCGCCGTTAAGTACGCCACAGTGTTTTCCCTAGCTTAATTATTTACCAGACGGGTCTCAAAGGACCCCCGAATCAACATCTAGGGCCTGACGTGAGTTATGACGGCTTATAGAAAGTGTTTATAATGCACTAGACCTCCACCATCAACCTGCCACCAGAGGTTGACCCGGGGCTCTGGTCAGCACTCTAAAAGGACTCGGTGCCATTTGGGACGCGTTCCAAGTATCTCTCCTCTGTGTCCTGTAGGTCTCCTGGACTTGGCTACGTTCTACCGCGAGACGCGTCTGAAGAGACTGTGTCAGGAGACCATCAAGATGGGAAACGCGTTCCAAGTAATTTGCCTCTCGGCTCCGTTGCTACTTACCGAGACCAGTCTGGAGATTCTCGTCAAGACCTGCCAGTGACCCCTCCGCAGGACCTTCTGTCTCATGTGCCCTCACAGTACGAGTTGGGTAAGTTCCCTACCAGTCACTGACGTCATGTGACTATGTTCCCCCCATGACCCGCTCTGTTACCTAGTGTTCCCCTACCAGTCACTGCCTGTCTGTTGTACTAGTTTTGTTCCCCTACCAAGTCACTGACCTGTCTGTTGTACTAGTTGTTCCCTCTACAGTCACTGACCTGTCTGTTGTACAGTTTTTTCCCTCTACCAGTCACTGACCTGTCTGTTGTACTAGTTGTTCCCCTACCAGTCACTGACCTGTCTGTTGTACTAGTTGTTCCCTACCAGTCACTGGACCTGTCGTTGTACTAGTTGTTCCCCCTACCAGTCACTGACCTGTCTGTTGTACTAGTTGTTCCCTCTACCAGTCACTGACCTGTCTGTTGGTACTAGTTGTTCCCTCTACCAGTCACTGACCTGTCGTGTTGTACTAGTTGTTCCCCTACCAGTCACTGACCTGTCTGTTGTACTAGTTGTTCCCCTACCAGTCACTGACCTGTCTGTTGTACTATTGGTTCCCCTACCAGTCACTGACCTGTCTGTTGTACTAGTTGTTCCCCTACCAGTCACTGACCTGTCTGTTGTACTAGTTGTTCCCTCTACCAGTCACTGACCTGGTCTGTTGTACTAGTTTGTTCCCCTACCAGTCACTGACCTGTCTGTTGTAACTAGTTGTTTCCCCTACCAGTCACTGACCTGTCCTGTTGTACTAGTTGTTCCCCTACCAGTCACTGACCTGTCTGTTGTACTAGTTGTTCCCCTACCGTCACTGACCTGTCTGTTGTACTAGTTGTTCCCCTACCAGTCACTGACCTGTCTGTTGTACTAGTTGTTCCCCTACCAGTCACTGACCTGTCTGTTGTACTAGTTGTTCCCTCTACATTCACTGACCTGTCGTGTTGTACTGACCTGTCTGTTGTACTAGTTGTTCCCTCTCCCAGTCACTGACCTGTCTGTTGTACTATTTGTTCCCCTTCCCAGTCACGACCTGTCTGTTGTACTAGTTGTTCCCCTACCAGTCACTGACCTGTCTGGTTGTACTAGTTGTTCCCTTACAGTCACTGACCGTCTGTTTACTAGTTGTTCCCCTACCAGTCACTGACCTGTCTGTTTTTACTAGTTGTTCCCCTACCAGTCACTGACCTGTCTGTTGTACTAGTTGTTCCCTCTCCCGTCACTGACCTGTCTGTTGTACTAGTTGTTCCCTCTACAGTCACTGACCTGTTGTTGTACTAGTTGTTCCCCTCCCAGTCACTGACCTGTCTGTTGTACTAGTTGTTCCCCTACCAGTCACTGACCTGTGGTTGTACTAGTTGTGTCCCCTACCAGTCACTGACCTGTATGTTGTACTATTTGTTCCCCTACCAGTCACTGACCGGGTCTGTTGTACTAGTTGTTCCCTACCAGTCACTGACCTGTCTGTTGTACTAGTTGTCCCTCTACACCTGACCTGTCTGTTACAGTTGTCCCCTACCAGTCACTGACCTGTCTGTTGTACTAGTTGTTCCCCTCCCAGTCACTGACCTGTCTGTTGTACTAGTTGTTCCCTCTACAGTCACTGACCTGTCTGTTGTACTAGTTGTTCCCTCTACAGTCACTGACCTGTCTGTTGTACTAGTTGTTCCCCTACCAGTCACTGACCTGTCTGTTGTACTAGTTGTTCCCTCTACAGTCACTGACCTTCTGTTGTACTAGTTGTTCCCCTACCAGTCACTGACCTGTCTGTTGTACTAGTTGTTCCCTCTACCAGTCACTGACCTGTCTGTTGTACTAGTGGTTCCCCCACCAGTCACTGACCTGTCTGTTGTACTAGTTGTCCCCTACCGGGTCACTGACCTGTCGTTGTACTAGTGTTCCCCTACCAGTCACTGACCTGTCTGTTGTACTAGTTGTCCCCTACCAGTCACGACCTGTCTGTTGTTGTTGTGTTCCCCTACCAGTCACTGACCTGTCTGTTGTACTAGTTGTTCCCCTACCAGTCACTGCCCTCTGGTTGTACTAGTGTTCCCCTACCAGTCACTGACCTGTCTGTTGTACTAGTTGTTCCCCTCCCAGTCACTGACCTGTCTGTTGTACTAGTTGTTCCCCTACCAGTCACTGACCTGTCTGTTGTACTAGTTGTTCCCTCTACAGTCACTGACCTGTCTGTTGTACTAGTTGTTCCCCCTACCAGTCACGACCTGTCTGTTGTACTAGTTGTCCCCTACCAGTCACTGACCTGTCTGTGTACTAGTTGTTCCCTACCAGTCACTGACCTGTCTGTTGTACTAGTTGTTCCCTCTACAGTCACTGACCATGTCTGTTGTATAGTTGTTCCCTCTACAGTCACTGACCTGTCTGTTGTACTAGTTGTTCCCCTACCAGTCACTGACCTGTCTTTTGGGTACTAGTTGTTCCCCTACCAGTCACTGACCTGTATGTTGTACTAGTTGTTCCCTCTACCAGTCACTGACCTGTCGGTTTGTACTAGTTGTTCCCCTACCATCACTGACCTGTTGTTTGTACTAGTTGTTCCCTCTACCAGTCACTGACCTGTCTGTTGTACTAGTTGTTCCCCTACCAGTCACTGCCCTCTGTGTTGTAACTAGTTGTTCCCTCTACCAGTCACTGACCTGTCTGTTGTACTAGTGTTCCCTCTACCAGTCCACTGACCTGTCTGTTGTACTAGTTGTTCCTCTACCAGTCACTGCCCTCTGTGTGTACTAGTTGTTCCCTCTACAGTCACTGACCTGTCTGTTTGTACTAGTTGTTCCCCTACCAGTCACTGACATGTCTGTTGTACTAGTTGTTCCCATACCAGTCACTGACCTGTCTGTTGTACTAGTTGTTCCCTCTACAGTCACTGACCTGTCTGTTGTACTAGTTGTTCCCCTACCAGTCACTGCCCCTCTGTGTTGTACTAGTTGTTCCCCTACCAGTCACTGACCTGTCTGTTGTACTAGTTGTTCCCTACCAGTCACTGACTGTCTGTTGTACTAGTTGTTCCCTCTACCAGTCACTGACCTGTCGGTTGTACTAGTTGTTCCCCTACCAGTCACTGACCTGTCTGTTGTACTAGTTGTTCCCTCTACAGTCACTGACCTGTCTGTTGTACTAGTTGTTCCCCTACCAGTCACTGCCCTCTGTGTTGTACTAGTTGTTCCCCTACCAGTCACTGACCTGTCTGTTGTACTAGTTGTTCCCCTACCAGTCACTGACCTGTCGGTTGTACTAGTTGTTCCCCTACCAGTCACTGACCTGTCTGTTGTACTAGTTGTTCCCTCTACAGTCACTGACCTGTCTGTTGTACTAGTTGTTCCCTCTACAGTCACTGACCTGTCTGTTGTACTAGTTGTTCCCTCTACCAGTCACTGACCTGTCTGTTGTACTAGTTGTTCCCTCTACAGTCACTGACCTGTCTGTTGTACTAGTTGTTCCCCTACCAGTCACTGACCTGTCTGTTGTACTAGTTGTTCCCCTACCAGTCACTGACCTGTCTGTTGTACTAGTTGTTCCCCTACCAGTCACTGACCTGTCTGTTGTACTAGTTGTTCCCTCTACAGTCACTGACCTGTCTGTTGTACTAGTTGTTCCCCTACCAGTCACTGACCTGTCTGTTGTACTAGTTGTTCCCCTACCAGTCACTGACCTGTCTGTTGTACTAGTTGTTCCCCTACCAGTCACTGCCTTCTGTGTTGTACTAGTTGTTCCCCTACCAGTCACTGACCTGTCTGTTGTACTAGTTGTTCCCTCTACCAGTCACTGACCTGTCTGTTGTACTAGTTGTTCCCCTACCAGTCACTGACCTGTCTGTTGTACTAGTTGTTCCCCTACCAGTCACTGACCTGTCTGTTGTACTAGTTGTTCCCCTACCAGTCACTGACCTGTCTGTTGTACTAGTTGTTCCCCTACCAGTCACTGCCCTCTGTGTTGTACTAGTTGTTCCCCTACCAGTCACTGACCTGTCTGTTGTACTAGTTGTTCCCTCTACCAGTCACTGACCTGTCGGTTGTACTAGTTGTTCCCTCTACCAGTCACTGACCTGTCAGTTGTACTAGTTGTTCCCCTACCAGTCACTGACCTGTCTGTTGTACTAGTTGTTCCCTCTACCAGTCACTGACCTGTCTGTTGTACTAGTTGTTCCCCTACCAGTCACTGCCCTCTGTGTTGTACTAGTTGTTCCCTCTACCAGTCACTGACCTGTCTGTTGTACTAGTTGTTCCCTCTACCAGTCACTGACCTGTCTGTTGTACTAGTTGTTCCTCTACCAGTCACTGCCCTCTGTGTTGTATTAGTTGTTCCCCTACCAGTCACTGACCTGTCTGTTGTACTAGTTGTTCCCTCTACCAGTCACTGACCTGTCTGTTGTACTAGTTGTTCCCCTACCAGTCACTGCCCTCTGTGTTGTACTAGTTTTCCCCTACCAGTCACTGCCCTCTGTGTTGTACTAGTTGTTCCCCTACCAGTCACTGACCTGTCTGTTGTACTAGTTGTTCCCCTACCAGTCACTGACCTGTCTGTTGTACTAGTTGTTCCTCTACCAGTCACTGCCCTCTGTGTTGTACTAGTTGTTCCCCTACCAGTCACTGCCCTCTGTGTTGTACTAGTTGTTCCCCTACCAGTCACTGCCCTGTCTGTTGTACTAGTTGTTCCCCTACCAGTCACTGCCCTGTCTGTTGTACTAGTTGTTCCCCTACCAGTCACTGCCCTGTCTGTTGTACTAGTTGTTCCCCCTACCAGTCACTGCCCTCTGTGTTGTACTAGTTGTTCCCCTACCAGTCACTGCCTTCTGTGTTGTACTAGTTGTTCCCCTACCAGTCACTGCCCTGTCTGTTGTACTAGTTGTTCCCTCTACCAGTCACTGCCTTCTGTGTTGTACTAGTTGTTCCCCTACCAGTCACTGACCTGTCTGTTGTACTAGTTGTTCCCCTACCAGTCACTGCCCTGTCTGTTGTACTAGTTGTTCCCCTACCAGTCACTGACCTGTCTGTTGTACTAGTTGTTCCCCTACCAGTCACTGACCTGTCTGTTGTACTAGTTGTTCCCCTACCAGTCACTGCCCTGTCTGTTGTACTAGTTGTTCCCCTACCAGTCACTGCCCTGTCTGTTGTACTAGTTGTTCCCTCTACCAGTCACTGCCCTGTCTGTTGTACTAGTTGTTCCCCTACCAGTCACTGACCTGTCTGTTGTACTAGTTGTTCCCTCTACCAGTCACTGACCTGTCTGTTGTACTAGTTGTTCCCCTACCAGTCACTGACCTGTCTGTTGTACTAGTTGTTCCTCTACCAGTCACTGACCTGTCTGTTGTACTAGTTGTTCCTCTACCAGTCACTGACCTGTCTGTTGTACTAGTTGTTCCCTCTACCAGTCACTGCCTTCTGTGTTGTACTAGTTGTTCCCCTACCAGTCACTGACCTGTCTGTTGTACTAGTTGTTCCCTCTACCAGTCACTGACCTGTCTGTTGTACTAGTTGTTCCCCTACCAGTCACTGACCTGTCTGTTGTACTAGTTGTTCCTCTACCAGTCACTGACCTGTCTGTTGTACTAGTTGTTCCCCTACCAGTCACTGCCCTGTCTGTTGTACTAGTTGTTCCCCTACCAGTCACTGACCTGTCTGTTGTACTAGTTGTTCCCCTACCAGTCACTGCCCTGTCTGTTGTACTAGTTGTTCCCCTACCCAGTCACTGACCTGTCTGTTGTACTAGTTTGTTCCCCTACCAGTCACTGCCCTGTCTGTTGTAACTAGTTGTTCCCCTACCAGTCACTGCCCTGTCTGTTGTACTAGTTGTTCCCTACCAGTCATGACCTGTCTGTTGTACTAGTTGTTCCCCTACCAGTCATGCCCTGTCTGTTGTACTAGTTGTTCCCCTACCAGTCACTGACCTGTCTGTTGTACTAGTTGTTCCCCTACCAGTCACTGCCCTGTCTGTTGTACTAGTTGTTCCCCTACCAGTCACTGCCCTGTCTGTTGTACTAGTTGTTCCCTCTACCAGTCACTGCCCTGTCTGTTGTACTAGTTGTTCCCCTACCAGTCACTGACCTGTCTGTTGTACTAGTTGTTCCCCTACCAGTCACTGCCCTGTCTGTTGTACTAGTTGTTCCCCTACCAGTCACTGCCCTGTCTGTTGTACTAGTTGTTCCCCTACCAGTCACTGACCTGTCTGTTGTACTAGTTGTTCCTCTACCAGTCACTGACCTGTCTGTTGTACTAGTTGTTCCCCTACCAGTCACTGACCTGTCTGTTGTACTAGTTGTTCCCCTACCAGTCACTGACCTGTCTGTTGTACTAGTTGTTCCCTCTACCAGTCACTGACCTGTCTGTTGTACTAGTTGTTCCCCTACCAGTCACTGCCCTCTGTGTTGTACTAGTTGTTCCCCTACCAGTCACTGCTCTCTGTGTTGTACTAGTTGTTCCCCTACCAGTCACTGACCTGTATGTTGTACTAGTTGTTCCTCTACCAGTCACTGCCCTCTGTGTTGTACTCCTCCTGTCCCCAGCGCTGACCCCTGACCCCTGACACCACTGACCAGCCATCCGTCTCCCTGTTCCTCCTACAGGATCTGGAAGAGTTCTGCTTCAAGTTCTGTGTCAACCACCTGACGGCCGTTACGCAGACGCAGGCCTTCGCCGACATGGACCACGAGCTGCTGAAGACATTCATCAGTAAAGCTAGCCGCTACGGGGCCTTCAAGAACTGACTGACCGACAACCCGCTAGCTAAGACTCTGGGTTAGGGGGAGGGGGATGGGAGAGAGGGGGAGGGGGATGGGAGGGGGAGAGGGGGATGGGAGGGGGGAGGGGGATGGGAGAGAGGGGGAGGGGGATGGGAGAGAGGGGGCAGAGCTGTAACCTATTGGATCCTGGGGTAAGAGATGTGGGGTAAGAGATGTGGGGTAAGAGATGTGGACTGCGGGGTAAGAGATGTGGGGTAAGAGATGTGGACTGTGGGGTAAGAGATGTGGGGTAAGAGATGTGGGGTAAGAGATGTGGGGTAAGAGATGTGGGGGTAAGAGATGTGGGGGGTAAGAGATGTGGGGTAAGAGATGTGGGGTAAGAGATGTGGACTGCGGGCGGGAGGGAAGGACAAAACAAGTCTGAGCTATGAAACCTGCCCCCCCCCCCAAAAAAAAATGTTAAAACCAAGTTGACCAATAGAGTCCCACCACTCAGCCTGGGTCAAAGGTTAAAGGTGAGCTGAACACCGGGGGACTGAGAGGGAGGGGCAGAGTGCTGCTGTAGAGGCTTTAGTGCTTTTACCATGTGACCACACCGGAGCAAGCCCTGACCTCTAGCACAGGTCCTATAGGGCAGATAGCTAGAGGGAGGGAGGGTCTACCTCGTGCTATTGGACGCCCTGACCTCTAGCACAGGTCCTATAGGGCAGATAGCTAGAGGGAGGGAGGGTCTACCTCGTGCTATTGGACGCCCTAACCTCTAGCACAGGTCCCATAGATACTGTTACTGTTATACCCACAGTAGCAAAGAACAGGAGACAAATACAGTCCGGGAGAAAACAACTGACTAATGGCATTTTATAGGCAAAATGGACACCACTCACTAACTAACTGCAAATGGCAGATTCCATATTTTGTCACGCTCAGAAGGTCAAAAAAGGTTATTTAGCCAAGCTGTTTCATACAGTAGTGTGCTGCTTATATTAATGTGCTTTTGTCATTCATTCATTATTGTATTAATGGTTTTTGTATTGACTAACATCTATCCTGACTGGCTGCTGTGCACCATGGTGAGCTAACTATCTGATAGGAAATGATACACACACACACAGTCATTATTGACTCCGAAGGGGGAGTAGGGACCTCCTTAAAGTGCTTACTTACCTGTGTCTGTCTGTCTGTCTGTCTGTCTGTCGTTCATTAACTCACTGTCTGTACATGTGAGGCTGTAAACACATTTTTTGCTCTAAACAGGAAACATGACAGACAACCTCCATTAACCTTTTCTATGGAATTTACTGTCAGTGACATCATATGCATCCCAAATGGCACCCTATTCCCTATATAGTGTGCACTACTTTAGACCAGGGCCCATAAGGGTGACCAGAACCAATATTAGTGCACTGTGTTGGGAATAGGGTGCCATTTTAAGCAGACGTTGTAGAAAAACGGCATCATATTGCCACCTTGCAGATGCGGTATGTTTACAGCAGTTGGACAGACAGTTTAGGGGCTCTTTATTCAAGCGTTACAGATTGAGATAAATAGTAATTTAAAGGTAATTTCTGATAGACCGACATATGCAGCGTTTACCGTGAACGCAGTCTCCGCTAACGTGGGAACATTGCCTTTAAATTTCAATCACGCCGTAACTTCCGCCTATACATTTAAGTAATTTAGCAGACGCTCTTAACTAGAGCGACTGACAGTTAGTGAGTGCATACATTATTTAAAAAAATAATAATAATCATACTGGCCCCCCCCGTGGGAATCGAACCCACAACCCTGGCGTTGCAAACGCCATGCTCTACCAACTGAGCTACATCCCCTGCCGGCCATTCCCTCCCCTACCCTGGACGACGCTGGGCCAATTGTGCGCCGCCCCATGGGGTCTCCCGGTCGCGGCCGGCTACGGCAGAGCCTGGATTCGAACCAGGATCTCTAGTGGATTCGAACCAGGATCTCTAGTGGCTCAGCCGTAGACCACTGGGTTATATTGGTGGGAATCACCCTCTTTCTTTTACAAGTGTGCTCCAATCTTGCATCAATGTCAGTGACGTAGCAGTACTGCTAGCCCCGTGCAATTGACAACTGAATCTGGTTCCTTCAACTTGGAGCTAGTAAGAGAGTCTCATGGGCCTATTTATACAGAAACAATATGAGAAAATGCTTTGTCATTGAGAAGCCAATTATGTTTGAATAAATCTGGATGAAGCTGTCACTCCTTGGTTCTGTTTTAGCTACTGTAATCACGTTTACACGTTTACAGGGTCCCATTTGGGACGTACGACCCTGGCCATTTGGGACGTACCCAACCCTGGCCAAAAGCAGTGCACTACATAGGTGACATTTGACATATTTTGGAATTCAAAATATGTCTGTGCTGGTGCCAGCGCTACCCCATGCTAACTTGTCCATAAGACTGTATAACCTTAGTAAACCAAGGTGTGATGCCTGCTGTGAACCAGAAGGGGGCAATGTTTTATTCTTCTAGACATCCATACTGCCAGTCTGACAATAGGCTCCTGCTGCTTGCGGGGATAAAGCAGGCGTTATGTTGGGGACTTCATTTATTCATATCTTTTTCATGTTTTCAGCTTTTTCATGACATTTGCAGATACATTTTTTTTTTAAATAATAATAAAACAAATCAGTTTAGTTCTTTTCACCTCTTTATTTTGGAGTTTCAAAATGACTTGGCAATTTCCTGCTTCAACTGGTTATATCAAACAACATTTTAGTACATTAACGTATTGCTAATCTTGGAGAAACCATTGGGGAAATAACTTGTTGTAATTTATGAAAGGAGAAGGTGCCCGCAAGTCTCTCCAATACACGTAATCCTATTGATTTTGTACATTTTAGTCATTTAGCAGACGCTCTTATGCAGAGCGACTTACAGTTAGTGAGTGCATACATTTTTCATACTGGCCCCCCCGTGGGAAACGAACCCACAACCCTGGCGTTGCAAGCGCCATGCTCTACCAACTGCGCTACAGGGCTCTATTGATGGTATCAGGTATTACGTACTTCTTTCTACACTAAGGCTCAAGTCTCGCCAATGACGCTGTCAAACCACACACCTACAGGAACCGATAAGCAATCATCATTTCACATTCGTCACACCAACGATGCTCTCCAATTATGTTCTGTTTTGCTGTAGCCAATGACTTGTTTATGTACTCTACGAAGGTGTGGAAAAGTTGAAGATTCTCCTACACTGGCTTTTACTCTCATTTTGTATCATATTCCAATTCAATGAGGCCTTGACAAACTCAACGGTCAAAGAGTTCCTAAATATGGTTGAATAAGTAACAATTGCTAAGCTGCCCCAACTAAACCACTCTATAGGGTGCCATTTGGGATATTGCCCAGAAGGTATCCCTCTGTCATGGTTACTCCCAAAACAAATGATATCAACGTCTTGAGGGTAAGATACCAGTACTTAAGTACCTAACTTCAATCAACACATTAAATAAAGGTTAAATCAAATAAAAAAAACACAACAAGCATGCTCAAATCCCTCCACAACATGACCCCATGTACAACATGGCCACATGTACAGATCTGGCATGTATAGTGTTACATAGAGGCTCAGGCTCCAGCACACGGATATACAGTACACTCATCCACTCACAGATATAAAGTACACTCATCCACTCACACACACACACAGATATACAGTACACTCATCCACTCACACACACACACAGATATACAGTACACTCATCCACTCACACACACACAGATATACAGTACACTCATCCACTCACACACACACACACAGATATACAGTACACTCATCCACTCACACACACACAGATATACAGTACACTCATCCACTCACACACACACAGATATACAGTACACTCATCCACTCACACACACACACACAGATATACAGTACACTCATCCACTCACACACACAGATATACAGTACACTCATCCACTCACACACACACAGATATACAGTACACTCATCCACTCACACACACACAGATATACAGTACACTCATCCACTCACACAAACTCATGCTACCCACACACATCACAACTGCTGCTACCAGACTCTTATTATTATTATTATTGCTAATACTGAACTATTTAAATACTTGCCCCTCAATCCCCCCTTCCCTGATACACGTGTAAATATTGGACTATAAACTGGGCCTTCCTGTACGATACTAAAATGTTTATTCTGTTCTACTGAGTCATTTACTTTATGTTCTTATTCTTATAATGGTAGTATTTCTTATTGTTGTTGCGTTGTCCAGAAGGAACCTGCCTGTAAGCATTTCGTTGGACAGAGTATACCATGTGTATCCTGTACATACGGCTAATAAAACTTGAAACTAAGCCACAAATATACACTGAGTTCACTGAGTACAGGCTTAACTACTGACGACAGAATACAATATGGAATTGAATTGAATTGTTTGTGGTAGGCGTCGTCTCCGAGGAATGCTCCTCAGAGCTAGATGCTGATGACAGGTTGCCCTATGCTGGGCAGCAGGCATCGAACCCCCCCCCCCCCCCCCCTTCCGCTTGGAGAACGGGGTTCCGATGACGGCCTTCAGGTTATTATGCTGGTGGTGGTCAGGAGGTGAAAGGTCGTTGGAAGACTATTGCTGCAAAACATCAAGTGAGAGACTAGGATTGAGTTGACATAAATACTCCCCTAGATTTATGCCCATTGGTTGAAAGAAAGGGAAGTGATTATTGCATGAGTGATCCCATAGGTTAATCAGCAGGCGTGGTGGAATTGCCTTAGTGTGCCATGCTCATTGGCTGAAGTTAATAGGTGAATGACATTCCGCACGCTTGCTAATGGTAAACTTGACACTCCCATATAAATATCTGCTATACTGACGAGGTAACTTTATAATCAATACCATATCAATACCTGCTATACTGACGAGGTAACGTTATAATCAATACCATATCAATACCTGCTATACTGACGAGGTAACGTTATAATCAATACCATATCAATACCTGCTATACTGACGAGGTACATAACCACT